ACTGGGACACGCAGGCAAAATCTACTTTCTGTTCTTTACTTTAGAAGTGTCAGAGGGCAGCTTGCACAAATTTTTGACTAAAGTCCGAAAATTGTTGGACCCCCCCCCCCCCCCCCCCCCCCCCCCCCAACCCTTTATGGCGCATTCCCACTGGAAGCGGATCCGCGTTCGCGAAGCGGTTGCGGATGCGGTTCGCGAGCGACCCCGTGCAGACTCACCGAGAGGCGGTTGGCGGTTGGTGAGAGGCGTTTGGCGGTTTCTCGGCGATCACGCGTGATCGTTTGAGACTTGCGTTTAACAACCCTGTTTCGCAATCCACAATCCACTTTAATCCACGATCCAAAGCCAAAATTTTCTACTTTGGCACTCTGAAGATTTTTCTTCGGTATGTTCGTACGCATCACAAGTTCGGGCAGCGAAAAAGAGGCACGAACGCACAAAACTCGCCTGTGATTTTCTCGACGTCGCCCACAAGCAAAGCCCAGCTAGGCGCGCCTTGCTGACTCAGAACAGGATGCCTCCGACCTTTTCTTCGAAGCGGGCCCTTCCCGCATGAATAGCTGATCTAGTTTTCGAGACAGAGGTCCAGTTTTACCTCCTCGTTCGCGCTTATCAGTTTCGCAGTTGTGAGCGGTGGGGTGGACCGTGGTGCGGGGGAATGTGTTCGGTGCTAGCCGGTCGTGGCTTCGTTTGTGTCGAGCATTCCTCTCGTCACTCGCACGTCGATCGAGTCTACTGTTTGTTTGACATTGAGCTCAAATAAATGCCGTATGGATTACCTCTGCATCGTCTGGTACGTACGCTTTATCTCTTGAGTAGGTTGCCTTTATTCCTTTTGGTAGTAGCAAACGTTACAGGTCGAGCTAGCGCAGGTACTCTGCCCGCTGCCTTCGCTACGCAATTAGGCTCACGACGTCTCTATCGGCCTTCGTGGTGGTCATGCACGGTGTCAAAAGCTTTCAATAGTTCACGCGACTGTATTAGTTTGTAGAAATGCTGACATTTTGCTCGATGGGGGCAGGTTACGACGTTCTACGGGAAAAGGCTAACAAGGCAGTGAGCTTCGGGCTGTGCCTCACGGAATAATAAACGAACTCTTACCCGAACCAATTCGCCGATGCCAAGCCCGTTAAGATTACGACTCAATTCTTTTCGTGGCAGATTCAAGTGGCGGACGTGAACCTCACGTTTCTCCGTTGATTTGTCTGCTGTAACGCTAGGACTACTGTGACTTGGACGCCTCACCAGCGACAGGTGCCATCTTGTTTCGAAAGTCACTGACGTCACGTCAGCGTCGCGTTACGATTGGTTGCCGCTTTGCGGTTCGTGAAAGCGGTTGGGAGAAATCGGCCCCGAAGCAGTTGACAAAAACGCGCCACAACCGCTCAATACTAGCCGCTTTGCGGTTGAGAACGCGCGCATCCGCTTCACGCTTGCGGATCCGCTTCCAGTGTGAACGCGCCATCAAGGTCTGAAGCCAGCGCCGTGAGGCGCCATCTTTCGAAGGTCGTCTGCTAACTCCAACGCCGCAACGCTACCCGATGTCGGATGCACCAATGTGGATGTCGACATTAGGAAGTTTTTGTAGATCGTTTCCGCTGTCCCGCAACGCTCTCCGCAACCAGCTACGCTAGCCGGAACTGTACAGTCAAGACCATCGGCGCGCCGGCACAGTAGCGGGTTTAGCGGAGGGGAAAACGCGGTCTACGAAAACACCCTATTCAGACGGAAAGTAGTCGACTTACGAACCGTTAGAGTTTCCGACGAAGCGTGGTGCACGTACGGGCCCGACATTATATTAACCAAATATTTAGAGCACCACTCAGCGTATGTTTTCAGAAATTCATGGGGGATACGGTCTGGGCCAGCTTCCCTTGCGAAGTGATGGGTGACCGCGCGCAGTTTGGTCTGTTTGGAAGTCCACCCTGGATTGTACTTGGAATTGAAGCTAGCGTTTCCGTGTTGGTAGCAGGTTCACCTGGCATTCGCAAGATGGCGCCACTGTAACTGGCTTCAGATGCCGCGTTCCTGTACGGGTCTATGGACATTCCGTGGTCGTAGCAGACGGAGATTATTGTATCTAAGGAGACGGTGGTGTAGCGAGATCAGGTGCGCTCTTGGGCTTTTCCACCGTGCGTTTTCAATAAGTAAAGCGTGAAAAAAAAAGAGTTTAATATTGCTGCTTGCTATGTATGCGACATTAAGCGATAGTGTTGTTCTTAATGAAACCTAGCTTTCAAGTGGTGTCCGTGAAAGTAGAATATTTGAATCTGTTAAATGCTACAATTTTTATCGTTGTGATACAATTCAGAGACGTGAAGGAGGGATTTTTATCGCAGCAAATAAAACCATAGATATTTATCATATAAATATATCCACATCGCTGGAACCGCCAATGTGTTAGACCTCATTCATACGACCCGCTTGAGGCTTGTTTATTTCAAAATAATTTACCTAGTATTAGCGACCATGCCATTTTGAACTTCAACTTGCACACTCCACTATGCATTTCAAATAGATCTAAGAAACAATTTCTAGACTATAGCAACGCAAACCTTGACGCAATAAATTGCGAGCTAGCTCGCTTTCTTGGTGAATTTTTACCTGCGTTTCCAGAACGCTCAGTTGAAACTAATGGGTCATGGTTAAAAACAAAGTAAGAGCTCTAATTTCATCGTTCATCCCGTGTCAAAATATTACATCAAACCGTATGTCTCCCTGGTTTAATGCAACACTTTAACGCCTATCTAATAAGAAAAAACAACAACATATTTTCCGTCCTGCAAAGTCATCTGGCTTCATGGAGCGTTAGGAGCTCTATAAATCAGCTGAAGATGCTTATAAGACAGCGAAGAAACAGGCAAACTTAACTTGTTTTAACGTCGCCCTTCCCTCTATGTTAACAAATAGTACGAAGCAATTTTGAAGCGATTTGAACGGGCCCCAAAGAGTTGTTTTTCTCATTGGGTTTGATGGGATCTCTGTTCCGAAAGATCATTATGCATCTGTTTTAAAAGATATATTTTAAGGCGTTTTATAAAATGATTCCTATGATTATCCTATGTATCCTTATTATGCCTTATTTCCAATAAACTCGCTTAGGTATTTTTTATTACGACGGAATTGCAGAGCTAATCTATAATTTGAAAATTTCCACCTCATCTAGTGTTGACCATATTACTTCTAAATACCTTAAGAATACTAAAATTGGCTTGTTCATCTTTCTTACGATTATATTTTAACAATCGCTAAACCTTGGTGCCTTACCGAATAAATGGAAAACAAGAAAGGTGCTTCCACGCCCCCGATCAGGTGACAAAAACAGTCCTCTTAAAACAGAACCATTTCCTTAGCCAGCACGCCCTATAAAATTTTCAAACACATTATCTACTTTCATTTAGTTTTTTTTTTTTTTTAAATCAATTCTTTCTTATCACTTTCAACACAGGCTTTTCGCAAATCTCTGACCTGCGAGGCTGAGCTTCTCACCTTTTCCGATGATGTACTTCCCATTCTTGATCGTGGGTCCCAGCTTGACTGTGTCTTCTTTTATTTTTCCAAAGCCTTCGATAAAGCTTCTCATAACCTATTCATTTTTAAACTTGGCAAACTTAACATAGGCCCTAATGCTAATGGATGCCAGTTTAATTGTTTCTGGTAATGACACTAATTATTCTCTCTGCCCGGTTACCTCTGGTGTGCCGCAGTGCTTCGTCTAAGGACCTCTTGTGTTTGCACACCCAATGTGTCGATCATCATCAATTCGTTTATTTGCTGACGATTGTGTAATTTATCTTGAAATAACTGACAAATTTCAGGCTGAACTAGGGTGCCTCGATGTCAGCGCCGCCTTGCAGGGTGAAGACATCCTTTGACCCGCGCCACGCCGCCACTTCCTCGCCGCGACGCCATCTTGGTTCAAACGACGGAGCGACGGAGTATGCGCAGTATGCGTGCGGTGTTCGGTGCGTGCGGTTGGACGTGCGGCGCGACTACCTTTCACCGTGGGCCGGGCTGTGCGCGGAAAAGTCTTTCTGGTCTTACTACCGATCTCATAGAGATCGGTAGATCTTACTGATCTCAACAGCAGTCGCCCGAGCACAAGCATGACCGGTTGTTCTGTACCGCTGTGTGCCGCTTCGTCGGCAAAGGGAGTCCGATGCTTCCGCTTTCCCCAAGAAAAGGCGCGAAGAAGGAAATGGGAGTCCTGCATCAAACGTGATCGCTGGAAGGCAAGTCACACCTCGAGGATCTGCGAGGTAAGTTACAAAAGCACGACTACTTTACTACGATATTAGGCAGTATTCAAAAATTGTCTTAGCAGCTCCGCTCGATTGCTTCATGATTGGAGTTGCTCGACTCAAAACCAGCCCTCGCTTTGTCTCACCGGTCGGATCGAGCGACCAGTCGGAGTTGTGACGTAAGGAATTGATCCTCTAAAGCACCCCATCCCGAGTTTTAATGGCAATACCTATATCGACATCCCCTTTCCGCCGTTAGGTCATATTCACTAATTAAATGACTTCCCCGATTAAAATAGGTTGAGGCGGTAGCTCTTCAGCGTGCGAGTTTCTCGCTCGTGAACAACTTTGGGATAACTTTTTGTGCTTATTTTACTATTCAACGAGTTTAAAACGATCTTATAAGCGCGGAATATTGTCGCGCGCGCGTACACCAGGTTTCTGTAGTTCAGTGACTGCATGCCATCTTCGCCTTTCGATCCTTGATTTGCGACTGGCCACCAACGTTTTCTTTTTTAGTTGGATTCTTTTTGTGTGTGTGTGTGTGAAAATAATCGCTGATGGTGAATCTCGAGCATGGTCAATGATATGTTTTCGAGACGATACTCGGGAATGCAAAAATCGCGACATATCTCGGTAGTCGGCGTGTGATATGTCATGGTCATGTCGCACAGCTCGAAGTGCTTGACGAAATGACATGACTTTGTCCCAGGTTGATTAGTACTTACATCGCTCTCTTGCAAGGTCGAAAAATTAAACAAAATAAAGCGCATTTTACGGTAACATTTTCAAAACTTAATCAGGATTGTTTTGACGTGAGATACTATGCAAATATTTTCTTCGATTTTTGTTTACACTAACGTCTGTGGCTTCCAATCTTCACATAAATCACAATCTCATTTCTTGTTTATTTCAGCGCCACTTCGAAGAAGACCAGTACGAGATGAACCGACAAGATGGGCGGCGACTTCTCAAGCGGACGGCTGTACCTACGTTGTTTGATTTCAGACGTAAGTGTTACTGTTACTATATGAGGTGCTATTACTGTCTGTGCCTCACTCGTTTGCGTACAATTTTATTCTGTGTTTAGATTTGTGATGTCTCTCCCTTTACTGCGCAGTGCAGCCGAAGCGAAGAAAGCCCCCCGCACCGCGAGCTCCTCCGGCTGATCGTGGAGGTGCCACCACTGCAGGTCCGTCGTCAATTTCTGCGGCAGAAGTCTCGGACCAAGAAGATTCTGGCACGGAGGACACTCAGCCAAACCCCATTTTAGAAGAAAATGTGCACGACCGCCTGAACGATACAGTTGATATCGTGACACTGCATACAAGTGAACTGCAGAAAACTTTGCAAGACACAAAAAGGAAAAACTGCGAGTTGGAAGAAAGCCTGTCAGCTGCAAAAAAGAAGTTAAAAAGAGCTCTAAGAAAAACAAGGCAGCTAGAAACAAAGCTTTCCACCTTGACTAGAAATTTGACATTTCTGAACGAGGACCAAAAACGTGTTTTGGAGAAACTGAACAGAAGAGGCTGTGCTTGGAGTGCTGACACCATACGGAAGGGACTACAGCTCAAGTTTGCCTGTGGCTCTACAGGGTATGACCTTCTACTTGAGCAGGGCAACCCCCTTCCGACGAGAAGGACGCTGTGCAGGAGACTGCAACACCTGTCATTTCAGCCTGGTGTGCTAACTGAAATATTGCGTGTGATGGAAACGAAAGTCGCTGCGATGTCAGACATTGAAAAGGATTGCGTCCTTTTTCTTGATGAAATGGAAATTCGAAAAGGCGTTGTGTTGGACCGTGGCAATGACACTTTGCTTGGCAAAACGACGCTGCCCAAGAGTGACCATCGTGCAAACCATGCTCTCGATTTTATGGTGGGAGGGATCAACTCGCGCTGGAAGCAAGTCGTAGCATACCACTACACGGGCGCATTTATCAACGGAGACGAGCTGAAGAAGTTTGTTTTTGACTTAATCAAGCGCTGTGCAGACATTTCACTGCGTGTGCTCTGTGTGACGTGTGATATGAGCAGTTCTAATCGTGCCATGTGGAGATCCCTGAACCTCTCCAGTTCCCGCAGTTCTGTGACTGTATGCAGTGTGCCGCATCCCTGTGAGGATGGTAAGGCATTGTTCTTCATGGCAGACCCCGCACATGTGTTGAAAAATATAAGAGGGCACCTTGTACGAAAAGATGTAATGCACCTAAGCGACGAGGTAGTCTCCAAGTTCAATTTACCAAGCAGCGAAGTCTCAATAGAGCATGTGGAAATGGTGTTAAAGTTGGACACTGAGCAGCTGCGTGTGGCACCCAACTTAAACAGTGCTCATGTGTCAAATGGCCATTTCACGAAAATGAAAGTCGGAATAGCGGTGCAGCTATTCAGGGAAGCTCCCTCGGCCATTCGGTATTTTATCCAACAGGAGAAACTGCCAGTTGAAGCCGAAGCAACTGCCTGGTTTTTCGAACTGGTGTTTAAATGGTACACCATAATGACCTCTCGCCATCCTGTCGTTGCTTTGAGTTTTGCGAATGAGAGCAAGTATCAGGAGGCCATTTCAACTCTGAAGCTCAGTATTTCTGTTGTTGAGGGCTTGGGGATCGGAGTGAAGAAAGTATGGAAGCCATGCCAGGCAGGGGTACTAATGTCGACAACTGTAGTGTTGCAATTGCACGCTGTTCTTTTGAAAGAGTGTGGCTACAACTTTGTGCTGACAGGACGGTTCGCTCAAGACTGTCTTGAGAACCTGTTTTCAGTTGTCAGAATGATTTCTCCAGTGCCAAACGCATATGACGTGAAAAATGCACTCAAAATTGTGACAGTAAGCCAGTTCATCAAAGTCCCAAAAAATTCAGGCTACGACATTGACGACAGCACCTACCTGGTAGATTTCCTCTCCGCAGAAATCAAAGAGGTGCAGCAGGAAGTAGAAGAGCCTCCAGGAGATAATGAGATAATTGAAATGGAACCACTCTCTAGAGCCGAGTCCGACATTGTTGCTCATTTGGCAGGGTTTTTGGTTAAACCTCTTCTCTCCGCTGTACAGTCGTGCCGTGTCTGCACACAAATGCTCACTGCAGAAGAGGCGTCCGAGGAGCATGCTCTTGTGCTCATGAAAGAATATGTTCAAGGGGAGAAACACCTCACTTACGTCAGCCTGGAAGTCTTCAACTTTGTTTCTTGTTGTGAGGGGGTATTTAAAGCGTTCTCAGAAGAAGAGGACATTTGTCTTTTGAAGAGCCCAATGAAGACCATAACACGACTTATTGAGCAATCTGTTCCTGTACCCCGTGTTGAGTGCAGCAAACACCCTGATCTAATACGCAAGTTATTGGAGCGTTTTGTCGTGATGCGCCTGCGCATTTACTTGCATTGGCTAAGTCAGCCGGAAGAGTCAGATGATGGTTATGGTAGTAAAACAGTCGCCGGTACAAACCTGCAGTGAGATGCAGCTTTTTGCTTTTACAGAAATAAATCGTGTATACTGAGGTAAAGCATTTGTGTCTTTTTTTCTGTAGGGTGGCATGTGTTATAGTCGTTTGCAACTCAAGAAGGTAGGGCGAGGAAAAGGAAGGCCGGCGAGGAGAAAGCGGGCTGAACGCTAGAGAGGAGGTTTCCCCCTTCCCTCTCCAGCGTTTCGTCTGCTTCCTCTTCCCCGGCCTTCTCCCTCGCCCTACCTTCTTGAGTTGCATATTTAGTATAATAAATTACTGAACAAGTGTATAATATACAAATCGAGCTCTGCAATAAGCACCTCCTATGGTAGAAACAACCCGTCGCTGCCATTATGTGCTACATCATATCTCAATCGGAACGCATAGGGATTGTTACTTTAAAGTGCTGCACTCGCATTAGCAAAAAAAAAAGTGTGGCACCACAAATTTGGGGGGATGTTAGTCTTGGTATTTTTTACGAAGAGCGTAAATTTCGAAAGTGTGTTGAGGCTATTATTTTTTCTTAACATTTTCCTTTTTATCCTGTTTGAAATTTTACTACTAATTGATAGGTGCACCACTAAGGAGGCGTTAAGCTGTTGGTGGGTCACTTAAAATAAGAATAAATAAATAAATAAATAAAAAGCCGTGAGAACCCAAAGCCCGTGCGCTCGCTTGTCAGAATGTTTGCGTCGCATCCGCTCATTTATTCTTTATTTGTATGAGTAAAAAGACTGAGACGCGCGTCTGAGTTGGAAAATGCAACGCGAAATGAAAGTTGCATGACGTAAGCCGACGTAAGCGCATCCTAGGCTAGAAGTAGCCAGCCCGCGGCATGCGCTTGAACCAAGATGGCGGCGCCGACGGAGATGTCTCCACCCTGGACGGAGGCGCGCGTTCATCCAGGCACCCTAGGCTGAACTTCTCCGAAGTGACCTATGCGCAGTATCGGAATGGTGCAACCCGTGGGAAATAACTCTTAAGTGCTTTTTGAGATTTATAACTTAATCTACGAGTTTTTAGGATCCTAAAAAAAAAAAAAACGAATTACATTCATGCACGGCCGATTTGCGTACTAAAAAAAGTAAGCAAAGATCTTGACACTTACCGTTGGGGGACAACAACAGATGGCGCTACAAATCCTCGGTGAATATGGGCGAACGACAAACGACGCTTGTCAGCCGCTCGCGAGCGACGAGTTTCAGCGTGGACGAATGGGACTGGTCAGCCGCTTGTCCTCGTGGGAACTCATCGCTCACGAGTGGCTGGCAAGCACCGCCCACCGTCCGCCCATATTCACCGAGGTTCTGTAGCGCCATCTGTCGTTCTCCCTCAACGGTACGTGTCCAGATCTTTGTTCACTTTTTTAATACGTAAATCGGCCGTGCATGAATGTAATTTCAGAATTTTTAGGACGCTTAGAGCGCGTACATTTACTTAAGGCCATGAAACGATGATCTCTAAACGCACTTTAGTGTTCCTTTAACACTAACCAATGCAATACTATAAGGGTTTCTCGTCGGAACACGTGCCCGTCATCATACTAAATTTGTAACACTCTATACAGCAGTCTGTCACGTCCTAGAAATATCCCGGTGTTCACATTACTCCTAACACAACCACTCTTCATCAAATATAATATTCTTAAGGCAGATCAAATATATTACTTCGAACTTTTACTGTGGATACATAAAAATCGACTTTACACCACACCAGCGAACAGCCTTAGTGCATATCAGATTAGAAATCCGAAGCGAAGGATGCCGGCCATAAGAACCAACTATGGTCAACAAACTTTCATTTTTCAAACAACTAAAACTCTAAATAGAACGGACTTCAACATTAACTTTAACAACACGTTACCTGGTTTTAAAAGGGATTGTAGAAGTTTCCTGGTTGGCAGTGAAATCGCATTCTCATTTGGATAGTGTATATCACCAAGAATACAATCACTAGATGTAGCTAATTTCAAAGATTTGTTTTCATTGCATTCCTTCATGAGAACTTGCTTGTGATGCTGATATGTCGGAGGAGCACAAGATTGCATTCTAGTTTTTTGTTGTTAGTGTTTGTTGTTACTGTTTTTGGTTTCTTACGACCAACACTCGTTTATAGAGTTTTTTTTTTAGCAAATGAATATAGTGTCTATTCTTGCTTCTTTGACTTGTTTCTCTTGTTTTATTTTAACTGTATGATGTTTTGTAGAATCTGTTATTATGCAACCACTTTGAGCTGCTGGACTTTAGGGGGCAGAGGCTTTGTCAGGCATCACGCCTTTATCTCTGCCCCCTACGCGGCAAACCCGCGAAACAAATAAAGAAAAAAAAAAAACATGTCATGAAAAACTCATGCCGACCATGTTATCGCTAACGATAACTCTGTGCTTTAAAAAAATATAACTTTTCTGCAACCCTAGTATTATCGAAATTACGCCTGTACAAAACCCTAGTTCGACCAAAATTGGACTATGCCGAATCTATCTGGGACCCAGGACATTCAACTCTGGTGGCGAACCTCGAATCTCTACAAAATCGCAGAGTACATTTAATGTTCGGCGACTATCATCGCACATGTAACCAGAGTGTCGTATATGAACACCGATTTATTAGTACCTCTTCTTTCCCTACGTCGAAAAATATCTGGTTCTGACACTTCACTGAATACATTATATCCCTTAGCCCTTCATATATCTCTTCACGCATTGATCATCATTTCAAACATCACTGAAACATCATTATACATTGACTCCTTTATACCAAAAACGTCTTCTGAGTGGAACCGCCTTCCAGTATCTTTAGTAACTATACCCTATATCGATTTGTTTCCAACTGCGTTAACTAATCACCTTTGTAAACATCGCCTCGAATTAGTATTTTGTAAAGTGCATTCTTTGTGTGTATTTTCTGTTGTGTGGATTTTTTTTTGTCCCACCTCCTGTGTAATGCCCTATGAGCCCCAACGGTATTGTCATAAAAAAAAAAATACGTGTTAATGTTAACGAAATTTGATCTACTTTTTTTTAGCTGCACCAGGGAACAGTAAAACGGCCCCAGAAGAAGCTTCTCGCAATGAGCAAGGTAAATGTACTATTTTATGTATAAGTTGAACCTTAACTAAAATAAGTTTGCGGCCTCTATGTCTCTGAGTGGTAGGAAATACAGTCAAATTAAAAACGGGAAATCAAAAACCAAGACCGTCTTGCATGGAAATTCTACCCCCGTTAATTACTATGGTCACAGGAAGCTTAAGAGCGGGGTGTGGCTCATTATGCTAATTCACACTCCTGGATTTCTGATTGGTTCTTTGGCGTTCTTATCGGCTGATGTCGCAATCTCATTTGCTGCGAAGCGGTAATTAGATGCTCGGGGCTCGCCAAGCCTAGTGTTTCTTAAACTGTCCGTGACTGTAGCTACGGTCAAAAGGAAGCAGGGTGACAAACTCAAGTGTACTTTGCTCCGGTTTTTGTTCCGGTTCGGGAACGGTTCAGCTCTGGGGCCTTAATCTAGATACTTAGCGAAAAAGTCGGCGAGAAATCTGGCGGCCGTGATTGGCCAACGCCGCACTTGACCTTGGCGCCGGCCAATCAAAGCCGGCGCCAAGGCGCCGAAGCGTATAACCTTTGACGTTATACGCTTCGCAAGTGGGCTCATTTTCGGCTTCTGTGCATGAGAAAGGCAGTAGCGGTGACGTCAGAACGCCGAGCCCCGATTGGCTGATCGCGACCCCCTATCTGAGCGTCGTCTGCTCCTTTGCGACGTCGTCTGCTCGCAACGACGTCTGCGTCTGTCTTACCTTTCCTGCGACTTTCGGAAGTGCAGGTATTTACGAGCGAGCTCGACTTCGCCTTTTAGAGAGGGCAGACGAAATAACTCGAGCGGTACGTTGTCTTTGTCTAACAACTAGCAGACGCGCATCAAGGAGGGAAGTCAAAGGACTCACTGGCGAGGTGTCCCGAGGCGCCGAGGTTTGTTTGCTTAGAACCAAGAGTGAGCGTATTAGTGTGCGCAAGTTCCCTCCCAAATACTTTTTCCCTCCTTACGTGTGCGGCGAGACTCCGCACTCTTTAACGGCGTCGGCGGGTTGGCGCAGTTAACGTCGTCTGCTTTACGTCTGCTAGTCAAAGCGATGGCTGCTTTACCTTTCCTCACTCTAAAAAATGTCTGTAAGCCTACTTTCACGCACAACAGTCGGAGAGCCAATCACCGCAACTTGCGGAGGCAGCTCAGCGAATGACGATGCCGAATCATATGTTTATACCAAAAAACGCAGTCTGAGTTGTGACATTAAGCAATGGGAAACGTCACGCTTGCATTGCTTAATGTCACAACTCAGACTGCGTTTTTTGGTCTAAACATATGTTTCGGCATCGCCATTCGCTGAGCTGCCTCCGTAAGTTGCGGTGATTTCCTCTTCGAGTTGTGTGCGTGAAAGTAGACGCACAAACTTTTCTTAGAGTGCTGCGTCTGCCGGAGATTCACCGCTTTTTCACCGGCGAGAGTCACCGTTGCCTCGGGAAACAAGGGGATAACAAGAGGAAGAAATTGACCTCTTAATCTAAAATTGAGGTCAGCGATCAAAGTATAATACGGGAAGGGTTCACAAGGGTCGCGCGGGCATATTCCATTCAGCACGCCAGCCGGTCGTGGGCAGACGGTCGCCGAGTCGAGGAGTACCTGCTAGGCCTAACTGCCGCGCTCGCTTGGTCGCGTTCGGTGGAGTCGTGGCTGTTAAAGCTTTTCGCGGGTGCTTGTGGATCCAGCGTTCTTGTTCGTCGTGGTCTGTTTCAAGTACTTTTTACTTTTTTCTTGCTGCTTGAAGTCGGGACGCGTGAGAAGCGCACGTAGAAAAATAAACGTCCGTGGGCCATCGCGACCGCGACGCTTTCGGCCATGCTGATTTGATTGTAAGAAGTGCGTAAGACAGCTTCGGAGCTGTCGAACGATTTCGTCGTAACCTGCGCAAAACTTACGAAAATTTCGTTTTGTGAATACGAATTTGTTCTTAAGTTTTGTCTTACGCACATTTTTGGCGTAAGTTCGTTTCGTGAATCTAGCCTCTGCACTTCCGAAAGTCGCAGGAAAGGTAAGACAGACGCAGACGATGTTGCGATCAGACGACGTTGCAAAGGAGCAGACGACGCCCAGATAGGGGGTCGCGATCAGCCAATCAGGGCTCGGCGTTCTGACGTCACCGCTACCCCCTGCGCAAGAAGCAGACGAACTTGCCCTCCGTATAGAAAAGAGAGATTTAATGCATCTTCGAACCGGTTGCTATTCGCATATATTGAAGACAGAATTGAAGACAGTAAAACACATGTTGTGCTTATTTTTATCGGAATGTAAAATGCAGAAAGAGAGAAGCTGAAAACTGTTTATTAGTTTTGACAAACGGAACATTCAGCCTGTTTTTAACTATGCTGGCTCTGCATTTCTAACACGTAGAATTCGTGTATGTAAGGATGAGTGTATAAGTTTTCTTGTCACGAACAATGTAAGGTTTTCATGCGCCAGGGTTCACAAGCATGTCGTTTTCTTACCAGCTCGTCAGCATTCCCTCACTTCTGAAAATTCCAAGGCATTCTGTTTTTTCAGTCCCTTGGATGAGTTCCGGAGGGCTTAAGCATTGCTTGAACATATAAAAATTTAAATATATTACGTACATAAGATGTGCTTCCAAGATGAAGTGAGACAAAATGTTAAAAACATTACTACCAGAATGATTAAAACATTATTCACACTCCGATTATCTAAACGTTTCTGCTGGATGCATTGCGGTATCAGCGTTTTCGTACAAGCCGGGAGTCTCTCCAGTGGCTGCAGTGCAGGTTTGAACGTGTTACGGTATTTAGTCGTGACTGCGGTGCTACCAACAATAGCTTTCCCCACTTGTGATTTGCGTGAAAGACGAGCAGCATGGTGTACGTAATTCGATTCTTTTTTTTTTCTTGGGGTGTGTGGCGCCAATTTTTATCGAAGACTGTACACAGTGTGAAGAAATTGTTTTGTTGCTAAGAGCTGTGTTTGCATGAATATGAAATATTAAGAAAGGGCACACGAATATCAACCATGCGGGAGTAGCCGTCCGCATATCCACATCCGCGACTGATGACAACCTTGAGCATACATGTGAACTGGTTCTGTCGGATAGACATAATCAGTTGATGATGTGGGAAATCATTTGCAAATCGACCAAAGCCCTGCCTTTGCATTAATACGTGACAGACTTGGGTTTCAAAAGGTTTTAGTGAGATAGGCACCTAAAAGGTTGTGGAAACCTTAGCGGGTAGGTGAGATTTGTATTTTGAACCTAGTTTGTGCTCCCAGGCAGATGCTAAGTGCATTAGACACCAGGCTTGCTTGGAATGTGCTCAATTGGAATGTGCTCAATTGGCGTCTGCATGTACGTAGCGCCGCGACTAGTTTATAGGAAAATTGGGGTCTATTTGGAATATTATACCAATTATAAGATGAAACAGAGCAAACATTGACTTCAACATGTATAATAGTTTTAAAGCACGTAATTATTTTTAACGAAACCCAAAACTTCTATATCCTGTCTGTCCATCCATTTGTGTATGTGTCGTTCATCCGTGCATTTTCCGCTAAATATAGCGTAGATTTTGACGTTGCGTGAGCTAACGTAACGTGGCATTTACACCAAGTGTAGGAATTGACATCACGTCACCTATACGTCAATTAAGTTTCCCCGTTACATTTAGCGGAAAATTTACGTCTTGTGACCCGAAAACACCAATTCAGTGTCTCTGCTAAATTTTTCTTGGCAATTAGCTTACGCGGCCTTTACACCAAGTCAGTTTCCCCTCTAGATATATCGGAAAAATTCCCACAAAGTGACCCAAACAACAATCTAGTTTCCCCACTAGATTTAGCATGGCAAATTGTTGTGAGGTGACTTGATATCACGTGACCCATGTAACAGTTCAGTTTTTCTGCTACGCGACAAACCAGTCCCCTCTTCTCACCCTTTTCCTCCCTTCCCGAACCCTTTCGTCTCCCTCCCCTCCAAGGCTGCCCTCTCCATCCCTTCCTTCCCTCTTCACCTCTCAAATTTCTTACCTATTACCCTCTCTTCCCCCCTCTCCTTTCTACTCCCCCTTTCTTCCCATATCTACCCCACTCTCCTACGGTGCCCTCCCTTCCCGTCCCTGCCCTTCCTTGGCCATATGACACATTGAGTTGCTGCATTTCATTTTCTACCATACTGTCTCCATCTTTCTCACAATCTCTCTCCCTACCGTCCTACAGTGTCATCTCTCCCCTCCCCCAAAGTTGTCTTCCTTCCCCCTCCCCCGCTTCCTGGCCGCGTGAGACGCCGATTCAATTTTCCCAAAATTGATTAAAAATAGGTTTTTTACGCCCGGAATGACTATTTTCGTTGGAATTACCTGCACTTCCTGCGCCGGTGCAGAAAGGTTTAGGGCAGTGTACTTCCGCGGTATCTGTATGCAGATACAACCGGAAGTACTGGCATACTTCCGCGGTATCTGTATTCAGATGCGGACGGAAGTACACCGCTCTACACTTTTCTGCACCGGTGCAAAAGGTGCAGGTAAATCGAACGATGCTATCTGTTTAAGGTCTACCAAATAAATGAAACAATCGCTCCTAAATACTGCAAGGACTTAAAGGTTAAAGGTGGCTGCCAATTGTTTTTATAGTGATAGACTGACATCGCAAGAAATAGAGCATCGATATCAAAAAGACAAAATTTGTAAGCTGTGATATTCATAGAAAAGATTTTGGATTTTGACCTCATTTCTGCAGGAGTAAATTTACAGAAGAAAAATAATACCTAAATACCTTTCATTATTGACTCATATACGCATAAATAAAAAATAACAGCTTTTTGAGGACTGACAATTTCAAGCTAACCCTACATCTTTTTGACGGGTTGTAATTTTACACTCGTGGTGACTTTATTTATTTATTTATTTGAAACACTATTGGTCCTACACAGGACCAAGATAGAAGTGGATTTGCAAAACACACAAAAAAAAGAAAACCACAAAACATAGACGCGCTAAAAATACACAGATTAATAACAGGATGCAACACAACGATGAGATCACTACTCTAGTACCTACAGTTGTGATTTCATCGTTGTGTTCATCGCTCTCAGAAATTTATGAAACAAGGAAACTAAACTCTTCTCAAGTTCCCGCAGTCACGACATGTGCCGGTAGCTTGTTCCATTCTCGCGCTGTTTGCCAAAAGAGCGAGTACCTAAAACACTCCTTTTAAACTTCCGCTGACGCAAATATGCGTTGTGCAGTTTCAGTTCTCGTCTTTATTTTTTATTTAAAACATTACAAGCACGTTACTGTAGGACCATGAAGACTGAAGGAAGTGATATGCCCTACATTGAATGTTTAGGTGAAATATATTAACATTTTACATCTCAGCACATTAGTCTACTTGCATCATAGCACTATGTTTTTTTGTTTGTGTTTTTTGGAAGGGGAGAATTAATAGTTCAGGCAGATGTTTTTAAAGCTCCGTATTGAGACAGACCGTCACGGACCCATCAGTCTTCACGGGCCGATCCTATGTTTATTAACGCATGGTGTGCTAAGCTACACCAATGCTTAACAAGGATTTAAGTGCCGGATTACAAGAGTCGCTCATGTTGATGAGGAATCTTTGAACTTGAAGAAAATGTTACGGACAATGTGAAACACTAGATTTCTATGACCATCAGACTACTTTTAGCGGTTTGGTGTGATTGTTATTCCAAACGCATTGCTCATGTTTATCGGCAGTGTTGTGTAGCTTGGTATGTGCATCAACAGTGCTGTGTTGCTTTGCCTAAAAACGAAGTATGTAACGGCACTTTAAAACTTTCGTTTCTTTTAGTAGAACAAGATGAAGACCCCGAACCCTCGCAATCAGGTAAATTGTTTTTCAATCTTAGACAATGTATGCCTTTAAACCTCACATTTGTCGTAGAGTGCCGCGAGCAAAAATAATATTATTGGTAAAGACACTTGGCAAGATATTATTTTTTGTTTCGGGTTTTTTTAACTTGCCGGTTCGTTTACATTTTGATTACTTTAAATATTTGCAAAGCAATTTTAACATATTGCAATGTAAATTAATTTGCAACGAAACGTAGTAATGCCCTATATTACGGGCGGTGCCTCAAAGGCTCCCAAACACGTTTCCCTCTTTCAAATAACATGACAGCCTATTTGATCAGGTTTAATTGCGTTTAATTGAAGCTCTGTAAATAAAAATAAAAGGGACGACGTACCATGAAAATTTATGGGTACTAGAAGTTTGAAATGGTTGAATGTGTAAATATTTTGTGGCAACCCAAAACAAGGATACCAAGACTGTTTTTTGGTTCAGTGCTGGAAATTTGCAGTGCATCAGCTATTAATTTATGAATGAATGTTTTGACCATGTGATGTAAAGTAATCCATATATGATCTGAAGGCCTGAATACATTGGTGTTTCTGGAATCAAGTCTGCTATAGTTCATTTGAACGCAAGTCAGAGAACATCCGCCGTCACGATCCGATATGAATAATTAAAGAGCGCCAAACGTTGCGACGTCACGGAATTCTTCAACTTTTGCGTCTGCTACAATTGACTCACCCAATCAAGCCCAACGAATACACCTTGACTTCGCGTTTTATCTATGGCTCTTCCTTTTTGTATGTTTTCTAGCCTTTGACTGTAATTTTACCTATGGTGAAGCAAACTGTAATGACTACATAACATCTAAAAAAAAAAGCATCCAAGAGATGCAGGCGAAAGCGGAAGCACTCCCTCTGATTTCTGTTTAAAAAGGCGACTTTTCGAAGGCAAAGCCCGTTCAAAAAAGTTCAAAATTCTTACTCCACTAACCGTAAAGTTTGAAACCAAATAAATATCTCAATTTCCAGCGATGCATTACATAAGATTTTGAGCTTTCAGCAAATTGTAATTGATTTCTACTCCGCGAAATTATTAATGTTTTATAAGCCGTTTGGCATGTGGGAGATGCTCTTTTTCCTGGTGTTTCCGGAAACTATCATGCGGTGATACCGGCGTCAGCAAATCATAAACAGGTAGTTTAGGTGACTTTCTTACCACATTCTTTAGCTATACAACTTCTTGAATAATTTTTTTTTTTTTTGTAGTAGCAACTGAGAAAACACTCTACGTGGGAATGTTCATTCTTACTGACTCGACGTTTCAAGCCTGCACTTCTTACCGGGACGACGCGCTCGAAGACTACCTAAGTGCATTTGTTGGATCAGTAAGTGATTTGTGTACATTTTAAGCCTGTTACATTATTAAAAACAAAAACGTTAACGAATTGGCTACGATTTATTTACCTAGTCTTAAATATTGCTCGCGTAGTTGCTATATTATTTTATATTAGTTATAGGTATATGACTGCTCAAAGGTAATGCAGTCATTGCAACCTTTTTTAGCGGAAAAAAGTGAAAAGGCTATAACATTTTATTTACTCTTTGAAACAGGACCTCCAAAAGAAGTTAATGAGACAAAGCTAAAAGAAAATGAAAAAAAATATTTGTGACACGATCTCCTGGAGTTACACTGACATAATTCAACCTTGTTGCAAAACGCCTCTTTCAATTTGATTCTGCGATGACGCATTAAAAACAGAAGGCGATGTTGCGAAAAAAAACAAAAAAAAAAAAACGACGAAATTATCGCTTTTTGTCTGGTCCAAAAAAATTAACTCCGTCATTGACGGGGAGAAGTCTTCCGCGGAAACCGGGTTTCAGCTTTTATAATATAAATAATTCAGCGTGGTTTATAAAAATTTGATTCAGGACTCACTTGTAGTGGCTCAACTGGCAGCTACGCAGTTTAGCGAAGCATTGAATATCATTATGAGCCCTACCCATGAAATGTAGCTTCTGCGCAGGTTTATGTTAGGAGTTTATTAATTTGCTTGCATGCTCCTGTACGAACCCTTAGGGTAAAACCTGAAACATGCGCGCGTGGGATCTTTTAGAGGTAAATATACATTTTCAAAACCAGGGCATAAAAAAAGAAATATTAAAGAAGGGCATAGCTGAAAAAAAAAAATCTGTTCGCGTGAAAGTTTTAATTATATTTGTGTTTCGCAGAAAAATTTAATTCTTTAAAAGTGCGCGGTTTGTAAACATCATATTTGAGAGGTTTATGTCTATAACATGTCAGTTCGCAACCGGGCAAAAATCAACAATATCAACCCTTCAATTAATAAGCCACGAAATACCGCTTTCTTTTTGAACAGATCCGACGTTCGAATCTTCAATTAACATTTGCAACTTGCGGATGGCTTCGTGACATAACTTTTATCACTTTTATGCGGCAGTACACTTTCTCGGCAAAAGTATGGCGTCCGAATCAAATTATATTTCACATGGCTATCAAACTACGTCATACAAGCCTCACATGCTCTGGCTGGCTATGTGATCTTTATAGGATTATATACGAAGAAATTAATATTATTATCATAATTTTTAGCAAACCAGCCATGTAGACGTTACTGAAAAAGTAACTAAATACCGTTCCCTGTTTATCGCTCAAAAATAACTAGGTACGTTACTCGTTTCTGGTATATGATATGTATACGCTCAAAAGTAATGAGCTTTCTTGTTACTCTGGATGTTTCGTTTTTCAAAACCTGTAGGTGCCTTACAATACTTGGTGCCGTTAATAATGCATAGGTTTTTAACGCAGTCATAGATATCGTTTTATTATTTCATATTGGCATTTTTGTACCGTGAAAGTCACAGGCAGGAGCTGGGGAGAAAACCAAATAGCGTAACATGTGTTGTACACGTTGCTCCCCAAAAGTAACTAACTACCGTCACTCGTTCCTTCATCATAAAGTTGGGAATATTCGTTATCGTGGAGCTAGCAAGCTTCTGCCTTCAGCGCGACGCCAACAGAGGCGAAGCGGGGGGAGACTTCCGCTTTGGAGTGACACGCCCACAACGATGACCAAAACCAAAATACGCTGTTGGACCGACTTGGGCACCCCTGGGGGCGTTCACCGACTGCGACCTCTACTTCCGGTTTCACTTGGGGTCTTCTCGTTTGGCGGGCTTCAGCCCGTATGTCGTCTCCTTTTATTCGTACCTTCATTTACCTTACTCGTTCCTTCTATTGAGAAGCAACCAAGTAGTTATTTGTTACCGAAAACATAACTAGACACAAGTAACCTGTTAGTTGTAACGTGTTACGTACAGGTCTAGGACACACCATCATTTGGAAGAATTGATTTTACTTTGACAGCGTATGCTGTCACTTCGTGAGAGCTGAGATCACTCAGACATATGGGCAAATTTTCAAATGTTATACCCCGAGGGTATAACATTCGACGCCAGCAACAGTATTCTCAATACCTTGTGCAACAATAGAAAGTTATAGAATAGGGGGCCTCAACGCTTTGGGTCCCCTAGATATTAGAGCATCGCAAAACGCGTGCGCAGACCTTCGGCGTATGCACATTGCGACTACCCGAGCCCCCCGAGATACCTTCAGCTTTGGGGCCCCATTCTGAAATTCCAATGCCTCAATGTTGTGTCAACCGTGTTTTAAGTGTGTTTATACAGCGTGGAGTTAGTCAGCCCCTGTTGGTGTCTGATGTCACTGCCGGAGATAAGAAATTTGGGCAGTGCAGAACGACCTCTTCCCTCAGAACATACATCACACAGTATCGATACATATGACCGCACGCCGGTGCGATGCTCATGCGGTTTGAAACGAGCAGGGGAGGGGATTGAATCCAGTATTCCAGGGTACTGCTGCGCGAGCTTGCACTCCAGGTGCTCCGAGCTACGGTGTGCTAACAAATTCGGCCACCAACCCTCTTGTTGGAAACGAGAATCCTTCGCGATTGTATTAATCCACAGGGTAGATAGAATCTTACCTGCTGACGTATAGTTATAGAACCGATCTTGTTTTGTATACAGCTATTTGAGTAAAGGTTCTAGCATGTAATAAATTATTAGCAAATATGGTTGACATGTGCAAAGTTGTAAATGGTTGTCCGCTTGAAGAGTGTGCACCATAGATGAGCAAGTTCATTAAAAAGTAGCTCAAATTAAAAAAAATCTAGTTCACTTACTCTTGACATTGATTAAAAACAATGACGTTACACAAGTTTATATTCTACTATAATTGCCAGAAAGACGTCTTCTCAAGAGAGAGCGTAAGTATTTAATAGATTGATAACCGGAAACCCGAATGACTTTTTAGATTTTATAAGACTGCACCATTCTTGTTATTGATTTCTTTAACATTTTTCAATTGTATAAGTGCCGTGAGCTTGTCATTTCTCTTTTTTTTTTAGTTGGTAGATTTGGAATATATTTGTATGAGCATGATTACACCCACCTTATCTGAGGCAATAACGGGCCTTTGAGATGAAATAAAAAAATAAATACATTAATTAATTAATTAGTTAATAAATGGATGAATGAATGAATGAATGAATGAATGAATGGATGAATGAATGAATGGATGAATGAATGAATGAATGAAGAAATGAATGAGGAACGAATTAATGAATGAAGAAATGAAGGAGTTTACTTAATTATTCTTGTCTTACAGGTGTCTATGCGATTTTGGGATCTTTCTTCACCAGCAGTGAAACTCATCTTCACCGGATCACGGGCTCTAACTGTAGGCATGAATTCCCCACTTGTATTTCTAGAGCCGAGTGAAAATATTACTCATAGCCGAACATATCGCACTTATACATTGAAAAGAAATGACATTGATATCTCAGAGTGGAAACTGTTGTTTTGATAAGTTACACTTTTTTGGGGGCATCGAAGAGTGTTTTCTTAGTATTATGATGGTAGCCATTTCGAGGTTTTTAAAAGGTTACTTATCAAGTACTTTCTAGCAATGTCTTCAACCTTCGTTATACTGTCACGAATGACAAATGATGAGCCGGCAAATACCCGAAGAAACTAAACGTTTAATGGGGTGAATTTGTGCCCAAAATAAAATAAAGAAAGGCTAGCGTCGCAGGCGTCGATGTCGGCGAAACAGCAGGATCGAGCGCTGGGGCGAAACTGACCAGCGGCTTGCCACGCGGAACCATTTTTGTACACGCGTGGGCTTCTGGAACAATCGGCATAGAAAGTTTCGCGCGTAGAACATTCTAACCTCGAATCAGTAAGACTGTTCTCGAATTTACTAGAACATCACATTAGAATCAACAAAAATGTGAACCGGCGGTAAAACATCCAACCCCGGCTTTCTGCGTGGAAGGCAAGCGCGATAACTATTAGGCCACGAGTTCGCTGACTACTTCGTCAGCTGCCCGCGCGGCAATATGTTTAGAATAATAATGATGTAACGTCTCGCCTAGGATGAAGAAGAACAGAATATTCTTGGAAAAGAAGAGGGCTTTCTGCAAGGTCCCGTGAAAGGCGCTGATGCAGTGAATAGGTTAATGGATATTGAAATGGAGGGAGAGTCCATTTTCGGCCAAAACGTATTTTACTACGTCCTGACACGGTAAGCCTTGAGACTGTCCTTATTTGCACTTCTGATTGGGTTTGGGATACTCCGAATAAAGAGTTCTAGAATGACGAAATTGTATTGAATAAAAATAATTCACATTAATACTACGCTGAATGTTCCACGCACAGTGGTAGAATCTTTAAATTTACCTACACCCAATACGAGACATAATTCTCCAATCAAGAACAACACATTTGCAGGAATTTGTAAAGATCTATTGTAAATGCAGATAGAGACTTTCAATTATTGAATATTTTATTTAAACCAGCCATCCCAAATTATAAGAAGCTAAGCTTTAGAAGGACGAGCTTTCGATTGGAAAATTTTAATAACATATTTCACTGTACGACTGGGATAGAAAGAAGTGCCTACCTTCATTCGCCAGATTACATATCACAACGAAAGGATCATGCTTATAAGGTTAAGGAACCCACTGTAGAACTGATGTCTTTATGAACTCATTTTTTCCTAAAACAATACGGGTTTGGAACGGTTTGGCAACCTCGGAAGTCAACATTGTTCATAACGATATGTTTTATTCAACGCTAACCTCCTAGTGTTTAGTTCATTTTTATTAGACCGTATTTTTATGTAGCCTGCACTTGGTTATGATGCTAAAATATTTATTGCTTGTGTATATTGCTCTTTGAACCTTTGTATAACTATTTGTGTTTTTCATTCCCAACTTTCTCCCCACTGTAATGCCCCAAGGCGCTGTAGGTATTTGAAAAAATAAAAATAAATAAATAAACTTCGTATTTGCAGATGTCAATAAAGGAAGAAACAGGACAATATACAAGGGCTGGAAGGGGTGGGCGTGAGAAATTTTTGAGATGAATGCGAGAGAATTAACAATGCTGGGGGCTTCTTAAACACACAAATTCAGTGCAAGAGTATGACCATTTTGTAGAATAACGGATCAGTTGAGTAAAGACGTGGGGTGGCCTTTGTACAGGGTTTACCGTTTGCTTGGACGGCTTCCTCTCTTCAGCCTTTGCTCTTTCTTTTTGTAGAAGACCCCGGCTTTGAGCTTAGATAGCATCAATGGTTACGGGCAATAGTCTTGATTTAAAAACAATTGAAACTTTTGAATCGTTTTGGGGCAAACGGCGATCTTGGTTCAACTTCTTCAGACTGACTTTGACACTGTTTTGGACTGGTGCAACGCATGGTGTATGTCTCTTAACGTTAACAAATGCAAAGCGATGAGTGTATCTCCGACGTAACTCATCACCACTTTCATACACCCTTAGTACCTCCCCCTTGGAAATCGTAACTTTCTACACATATCTTGGAGTTCATATTACAGATAACATGTCATGGCACGTTAACATTGATCATACCACTGCTAACGCTAACTCCATGCTCGGTTTCTTAAAACGGTGTTTTACTTTAGCACCAGTGTCACTAAAATTACTTTTATTCAAAAACATGGCACGCTCTAGATTAGTGTACGCTGCAGCAATCTGGGATCCCGGTCACACCACGCTCGTATCTAACATTGAAGCCATTCAGAACCGTGGCGCGCGGTTTATCTTTTGTAATTATCATCGTTCAGCCTGCGTGTCATCCATGAAATCTAACTTATCTTTGCCCCTTCTTTCTCTGCGCCATAAAGTATCTCGTCTATCACATTTTCATAAAATTTACTACTCTATTCCTGCTCTAAAAGAAAAACTTATTCTCCCTCACCCGCATATCTCCTTTCGCGCGTACTAAGTTGGAATTCCCCAGTGTCGCACCTCCGCCTGCCTTGACTCTTCTATCCCCAGGTCGTCATTGTAGTGGAACCACCTTCCCGCATCTTTAGTATCTATATGATCATTTGCTTCTTTTAGAGCTGCATTAAACAGCCATTTTTGTCAGCAGGGCCGTGACTGCTGTTTCTATTGTATAAATTTTTGTATTTGTTCTCATTTTTTGCATTATGTTTTGTTACTTGCCTCTTCCTTCTGTAATGCCCTCGGGCCTTGAGGGTACTGAAATAAATAAATAAATACATTCCTCAATCTGAGGAATGACGCCACAAAGGAATGGCGTATCTGACAGCGCTCCGCACAAAGGTGCCAAGATGGCTGCCAAAAAGGACGTCTGTCCATTTTGCTCTGATCCATTTTATTGAAACCAACAGCATCTTAACTGCTGTGCATGCCTGCCTCGATATTATTGTAAATGTATTAACGTTCATGGGGACGACTACAACCTTTTGATGGCCGAAGGCGTGAGTGCCTACAAATGAAACTCGTGTTCGAAGCGAGGTGAGCCGGAGGAAGCGAAGCTGAATGCCACCGCGATGGACACGCCCCAAAAACACGCTGTGAAGGACGGAGAGGGCAGAGGGTTCCAACAACAAATCAACGGTACAGAGCAGCTCCCTCGAAATGCTCGTTTTGTCTTTGACAGCCAAAGTAGACTTGCTTGTAGGCACAGTCAAGATAATGCGCGAAGAAAACGTCATGATAAGAAGTGAGCTTTAACAAGCCGAATCGCTTTGGACGCAGCTCTTCCCTGCTACTCCAAAAATTACCGATCGTGCAGCGCCTCGTGCCCACAAGAGTTACGCCGTAGCCATGAGTAGTCAGAATACTACCGAAAGCAGTCGCCACCTTGACAACGACGCTGGTCGTGCAAAGGAAAAGACTGCTGGGAGGAACATCGCTCCACAATCTCAGGCATGTGCCTCTGGTTCTGTCCCTGAGCACGCCAGCAGTATCGTCGAGGATCCATCCTCTGTGACAGGCTTTGTGACCGACGACGGATTTCAGCTTGTGGCGAGAAAAAAGCGACGTCCGCTCGCGAAAGTTGGTGCGTGCACAAATGCCTCACTCTCCTCGATTCCGCGGCCACCTGTAAAGCAGGAACTTTTCGTGACGAGGCTGAGCCCGGACAGGGCGTGCGAGGATGTGAACAACTTCCTGTCTTCAGTGCTCCAAACTGGAAGATTTCAGTGTACCAAACTTCGCAGTCAGCCCGATTCATACAGCTCTTTTCATATGAACACTACGATTGCCTGATAAAAATTAATGACTCTAGCGTGCGGCTGGAAGGTAATTTCTTTAGGCCCTTTTGGGGGCCCTTGCGTGGCCCGGATATAGAGCGACCAACAGCTAACGAGGACTCGTGATGGATAACATACGTGTATACTACCGAAACGCTCGTGGGTTACGAACCAAACCTGGTGCTTTCTTTGAATGTGTCACGACTTCCGATTTTCATGTAATTTGTATCACGGAAACTTCGATTACACAAGCAATCTCTAGCAACGAATATTTTACTGATGAATACTGCGTTTACAGATGTGATAGGGATTCAACTGGTTCGCGAGCCACTCTGGGAGCAGGGGTACTTACGGCGGTGCACAATTCGTTATCATGTTTTCGCAGGTTTGATCTGCAAGGAAGAAATGGATGTCTTGGGTTGCAAATCCGTTTTCCGGGCCAGACTAACTTTATAAATGGAAATTATTACTTTCCACCTCGCTCTGACACACAATCATTCATAAGCACTTTGAACTACATTTCCGGTGACGTAGATTTTTCAGCCGATGATGCCATGATCGTTGGTGACTTTAACGTGCCTGGCGTTGATTGGAATTCAAACACAATTACTGCTGCATCAAGTGAGGCATGTGATAAGGCCGAAAAAACAAGAGTTTGTGAACTTCAATGGGCTTTTTCAGCTTCATACTACAACAAACGGGGCTGGGAATACGCTTGACTTGTGCATGACTAACATATCAGCAATCACTTTCGAGGCTGCTGACTGTCCTCTTGTCTCTATCGATAAGTGGCATCCACCATTCACCTTTTCGATCGTACTTCCTGCTCGGACGTCGGCGAGTAGTCAGTCTACGCTCGTGGGGATTACTTTGGTCTTAACAATCACCTCCGCAACGTAGACTGGAGCGTTATTTCACTTTGTTCCAATATCAATAGCGCAGTTAAAGGTCCAACAGACATCGTAACTACAGCCATGAATAATTCCACTCCACGCAGAAGTGGTCGAACTACCAACGATCCTTTTTGGTTCTCCAGAGAGCTACGTGATGCGTTGCGTAAAAAAATCAAGGTATAAAAAGTACAACACCGGCATAAAGAAATGGCAGGGTATGTATAAAGAGTATCGTTCAGCGGCCAAAACTTTGATACGGCATGATGGGGAGAACTGGCGAAATTCAGTTGAACGCAATTTAAAACGCGATCCTAATGCTCTGTGGTACTACGCGAGGTATATGACGACGTCTAGTCGATCGAAAACTATATTACAAGACGACTCTGCTTGTACATCCGAGCCGTCCGATGTCTGCAACTTTTTTGCTACGGTCTTCTCTTCCGTCGGTAACTTGATTACTCCGTGCACTGTTATGACCGATGCTCCTCTTGAAACTACCCGCAGCTTGGCACCTCCGAATCTTACGCTTGAAAATGTGCTCTCCGCAATAAATGAGCTCGCTCAAAAAAAGTCATGCGGTGAGGACGGAATTACTGCCTTGATTGTAAAGGGATGCAGGGATATTGTTTCCCCTGTGTTACTACATGTTTTAATGTGTCCTTAGAGGTCAATGTATTTCCTTAACGATGGAAGAATGCAGTGGCCGTACCCACGCATAAGTCTGGTCGCACTGAGTGCTTTAATAACCACAGACCAGCTTTTCTTCTTTGTTCTTTTTCGAAGGTATTTGAAAAGGCAATTGTAAGCGGGCAAGACGTCGGGTGATCAAAGAGGTTTATTCAGGAAAGGCAGCGGTTTATAGAGCCGAGGCGTGACGTGTCTCGTCACGTGCACCAGCTTGGTTCTGGATGTCACGATGACTCAGACCTGAGCCACGCTACCTCTCCCCTCCATCCGAATGTCTCTCGGGAAGAGGGTACCGACGAGGTTCTTGAAGTACTCTTGAACTTCTCCAACGTTCTGGAGGCTGTTCGACGTCCTCAGCGTCGGAGGCTTCCGAGGTTCCAGGCGCACCAGCTATGGCAGGGGCTGCGTCGTGCGGGGCCAGGGGCTTCAGAGGTTCCGCGTCGTGCGGGGCCGCTACCTCCCGGAGGTGCTCTCGGGTGCGCGGACTTCGCGGCCGTCTTCGGTCTGCAGGATCATCGAGCGAGGCGTGTTAGCTTGTCTCAGGACGATAGCAGGAGCCCATGTTCATTTGTCTTGTTCGTAGATCGTGACCTGTTGTCCTCGCGGCAACGTCGGCTGGTCCCTAGCGCCGTGGTTGTAGTCCCTTCTTCGCCGTTGGCGGATCTCTTGTAGTCGGCTGTGGACGTCCTTGGTCGGCACAGTCTTTGGCTCCAGGTGGCTCGTGAGCACGGGTGTCTGCCAACCCATCAATTTCTGCGAAAGGGATTTAAGAATGTCATCCCGATGGATGTTTCGCCATTGCATTAGAGCTAAATCAAGGTCGGAAACTTTGAGGGAACATTTCTTAAGCAGCTCCTTTGCTTCCTGTCATGCCGTTGGAGCGTGGGTGGTACGGACTGGAGGTGACGTGGGGAATGTCTAGCTCCTCTAGGAAATCCCGGAATTCTCTGCTGGGCTATAACAATACATCGATTATACCTCACGCTGAAAGCTCACGCTAGAGCGCGTTTGCTGTTGGGGGTGGGGAAGGGGGAGGGGGGGGGGGTTGGAGTTCCACTAACGATGACGTCGTGCGCAGTCCTTGTCTTCTAAGTGGTATTGTCTGATGTCGTCATCCTTCTGCACCCTACTTACGGTCTCATTTTCGAAGTTGCGTGATTCACAACTTTCCAATACAGCCAGCAAGGATAACTAATTTTTGTAAACATGACCATAAAATACCCACCAGAGGAAAAGCAATAGTAGTAGAAATGCAGTTTTCTTAACCCGTCCAAAGTCACGAAAGAGTTTATTTTGTCTATATACGTTTTACACAATTATTATATTTCGACACATCAAAAGCCATTGGTTGTTTCCGAGAACAGAAATAAATACATTATTTGTATGATGATAAAAAATTAAGCACGGAGCAAACATATTCACCAAGAATATGTTCTTAAGACATCTTTGCTAAGAAGTTCGTAAGTTACGCACATGATAAGAAGTTTTGAAATCGGTGTTCCTGAACGCGTTCGTAAGTAAGAGGATGAAAACGCAGGAAAAATAACACTTCCGATGTCCCGCAAGGTAATGCGAGAGAGGGTTGTTGATATGGCGACAGTGTCTTCGGCAACACAAACATCCAACGGGGGAGCTTGGCATGTCTCGGGGTATTCCGGAGCACGTGGGGTAGAACCAGAACAAACACAGGCAGTGGTCCTTCTATGATCATTCTGCCTGTGCATTGAGACGTCGCCACTACCCTGATTTAACCAAACCTAATTGCCCACCTTACTGTGGCCGGGGTGACCGTTTCAGTCCACTCCTACAAACGCAAATGCTACAACATAAAAAAAACAAAAAAAAACATAAGAAAACTGTTAATTATGATGACGGGAACGGGCCGCAATTCTAGTTTGCAAACTGGAACGCCTAAAAAATCGCCTAGGCATCGTTCGTGGTTCCAGGAATCCGGGAAGAATCCAACTTCTTTCGTACCACAAAAGCGCCAACATACGCTTGGCCCAAATCGCGTATCTCCCAAGGGAGGCTCTATCTAGACCTGTGTTAATGTTTTTACTACTAATGTCACGTTGAGACAAAAGGCCTACTCAAAGAATAACATGTACATACCAAATGATGTGAAGGTAATCCTTACGGCATTTACTTGAGATCTGCATCTGACAAAAAAGCAGATCGAATCAACAGAAGTGTCTCTGCGACGAGAGCGTCCGCCATCATCCCCGAAAAATGACGACGAGGGGACAAAAGGGCCATACCTAAAATCAATGTCAGGGTTTAGACTAAACATGCACAAAGCGTCCACTTAAAAAGGAAATAGGCTGAAATCGTTGCGGCCTCTAAGTTTATCCTCGAAAAAATGCGAAAGAATTTCGCGCAGCGGTTATATATAACAAAGCATGGTGAATGCAGCGAGCATCTAAGCCCTTGTCCGAGGAGCAGACATTCCCGAAACCTCTCTTCTCTCTGGTGCAAGCATATCAGGCCACTTAGCGTGCATTAAGGTTGTGCGCGCGATGTGCGGAAAACGAGAGCTATTTCTTTAGTGTGCAGACATGTTGCACATACAGGGGCGACGACACCGTGTGCTTGCGGCCCGGTGACGTGGCAAGACGACTGTGCGTCAAGAACGGCGTCGCAGGCTGAAGAACCGGACCTCTGCCGGTGTGCGTTTACAGGTCTCCAAAGTCGGCGGCAAACGCTTCCGAGGGAATCCAAAGTGTGCACCCGTTCCCCGGCCGCTTATTTCGAGAGGCTAGGAGATAGGACGCCTAGCAACGGCGCACGCACAGGATTGGCTGGTTATAGAGAGCGGAGACGCAATATAAGACCTAGTAACCGAGGTGCAGTGTGGGACAGCGGGGCTAGGGCGTACTTGGGCCGCAGGTGGGGCGCTGCAAAGCGGCGTGTATGGGTTGACTAAGGTGGGTTAATATTCTTTTGTAATGAGCCATCAGCAGACTGTCGCCGCGAAGCGGCGTGAATGGGAAGGCCTGGGCGGGTTTACACGCGCCTCATTGATACACCCGCTGTTCCACTCCGCGGCGCCGATATTGGCGAAAGGGGCCGTAGCCACTGATCTTCAGTTGCTACGTGTTACGTCAGGGTGCAGCTCCCTATAACCAGGCAATCCGGTGCGGCTTCCGTCGCCATGTGTCCTATCGTCAAGCCTCTCGATATATGCACCCCACCGCCATTCTCTCGGCGCCTGCAGGTGTTTCCTAGTCAGTTTCAACAGCCAGTGGGGCAGTGGCGCCATTCCGTGGCGACGTTGTGAAATTTGCGTACTTCAAACACTCCACCAAGGTCAGCGCATGTACCAGGGCACTAAAGGCATTAAAAAAACTGAAGGCCGTTTACAACTCCCTGTAATGCCGAATTAGAGCGCAGCTCTTGAGGAGGAGGATGGAAGCGTACTGAGGGGAGGGAATACCCCTTCTCCCTCCTCCTCACCCCGTCATCCTGCCTGCTACTCCTCCTCCCTCCTCTTCCTCCTCCTCCTCTTCTTCTCATCCTTCAACCTCCTGCCCTTGTGTCCTCCTCCCCCGTGACCCACGTCACGTCACGGGGGTCACGCGACCTCAGCGGGTCACGTGACCTCAGGGGGCGGGTTACGTGACCTGAGAGGGAGTCACGTGACCTCTAAGATGGTCACGTGACCTCGGGGGGGGGGGTTAGGTGACCTCAGGGGGAGTCACGTGACCTCACGGTTACGCCGACAGCGACGGTGACGCCGCTCAAGCCGGAATCGGGAGCCTAAGAGCTGCGCTCTAAAAAGAAAGTGGTTATGTTTGAGTGTGTGTTGGAAGTGGGGGAGGCGGGTGTCCCGCGAGCATCTTCTATTAAGCAGGGCAGCGATCGCAGGCTGACAGTCGTGGCAGGAGAGGACAAGTTAAATGCCTTGCCAGCCTAGCCCGTAAATGAGCACGGCTAAGGCGTCACAGTGCATTTGATTCGGTTTACGGCGAGGTCGCATTAAACACGGTTCACCCCGTTGATTATCCATTGAGGCACTCGTCTGGCTCATGCTTCTGACGCAAGCCACCACCGACTGGAAACTGCCGCTGGCATAAAAGCGACACGCCAGCACATCGCAGGGCTTCGCACGGTGGCCTAGGCAAGCGGTAGTTTCGCTGAAACGGATGATCAGCTATTGTTACGCGTCTCCGACGTGTGCTGAGCACACGTTGCTGCCGTACGCTTCTTCTAGCGTCCCGCTCTTCTTCAAGCACGAACGGGACGTAGGCAGTCATTCTGGACGCATAATCACGGAAAACTTCGTAAGATGAATCGGCCCACTTTAGTAGGATTTTGTCTTATCTCACGCAAAAGTTACGAACATTTTGCTTCGAAAATACCAAGAATTTTGTAACTTTTTCCTAGCAATATTTGCGCATTTTTGTGTTGTAAGATAAAGCTGTCAGAATCCGGCCACTGGCTTATATAGAGAAGAACTGAATGGTGTGAAAATAGTTCATACATTAAGGCCGCCTAAATTGCAGATCGTGATCGCTTATTAAAAGATATAGCTTTTAAAATAGGCTTTTTGTTTTCTCAAAGATATATACTTAAACATCCGAACATCTTCAGCTCCCCTGGTGTTTGTTAACGCCATTCTCTGGGGAAGAAATTGAAACCGAATTTCTAGAATGTATAATTTACTAGCCTAAAGTACAATCCTTACCTTGTGTAAAGCTTGAATGTAGCGTTAGGGGTAATTTATGTTAAAATAATAAATCAACTTAAACAAAGAGGACTAAAAAATTTTCTACAAAATGCGAGGGCACAAGTGAGCTGGTGTGAGCTCATAATAATAAAATTACCCGAGAATGCGGTGACAACAGAAAAACGACAGGTAGAAGAAAACATGTCTCAAATTTTGAGACATCTTTCCTTTTTCCTGTCGTTTTTCTGTCGTCAACGCAGTCTCGGTTAATTATGCAGTTATAAAATTGTACATATTTTGTTTTATTAAGATTACAAATCGCCTTTGTAGAAGAGATATCCTATAGCTGCCTGCGGTGCACAAACTGACCAGCATTCGCTCCCTGGGTGTTTACTACCACGAAGAACCTTTGGGTTTTCGCTGATTGCCTTGGTTGCTTTGCAATTTAAAGTCCCGATGTTTCCACATACTTTGTTTAAAACTTGAAGAGAGTGCATTAGGAATTATTACTTCTGGAGTGTTAAAAGTGAAATCGAAAAATTTCAACAGGCGGAACATTACTGAGGAAAAGACGAAAGCAAAAGTTAATACTAACTCACTATCGTTTGGCGGCAATGAGTCCAACAGTGAGGAGGAATCATTTCTTGTGAACGGACGTTCGAACACTGCTCAGAATATGTTTCCACCCGTTGAAGGTAAGAAAGCATTGCCTCTTTTCAAAAACATGTCGTGGTGCCTTGTCATTTTTGACGTTGTAGATACTAAATGACGCAACATCTGATTTCTGTAAAAAGATATATATTCTGGGGACATGATTTCCAGCTTTTTATCCCGTCATTGACAATGAATTCCCACTCATTACTTAAAACATTACTTGACCTGCAAGAATCTGTTCATAATCCCGCTTCTTTGTGGTGAAGCTTACAACAACATCTGCCACTGAGCTTAATTACTCTTAAGACACATATAATTGATTAGCAAGATGCTTTCGTATAGCTGTCAGAGCAGAATTATTGGACTGAATGACCACCCTGCTGCGAAACAATATTCTCGTAGTGTCAAGCAGTTGCTATTCACATAAATTTGTTTTAAGTGCCTCTAGAGGCCCCGGAGCGAAATACAGAGAGGGGCTACCGCATGAAACATGCTGGAGCTGCGACTGCATTATGCCTCTTGTTGTTCTGATAGCTGCCTCCTTAATTCTAAATTTTATGTTTTGTGAAGGGCTATCTCAGTACGGCAGCATATGTACCGTAAGTGTTGGTTTGGGCAAAGATAACGGACGAAACTTCAGCGGCGTCACCACCGCAGCTAAGCAAATTGCAAACATGTAAGTCTACAATTTATGAAAATTTTAGACAGACGGCTACCTCAGGTTTTTTATCAACTCTCTGTGAAATGATCATTACGTTAAATATAAAAAATCAAGTCATTTAGATGCGTTCTTTCGTGTTCGCAAGTTTCGGTTGTAACTTAGATAGCACGAAAATAAGCATAAAAAGCAAGGCAATATTTTGGAAACAAGAATCGAAGACATGAATGACTTTACGTATTCAGAGTGTAGCGGCAAAGTTTTTTTAGTTATATTTCCTCGTTCAAGGCATCCATTGGCGGTGCATCCATCCTTTCCGTAGTATTAGTCTTGAATTCTAATTAGCTTCACTATTTATGCGTGCTTTTTACAGATATCACGTACTACGCAATTTAACAGAACAGATATGAACGCACAATAGGTTTCACGCGGTCTTTTACTGATTACAAAAAGTATCTAGAAGGGTAGATATTCTCGTCACTGAATATTTTTTCATTAGTTTTATACACATAAGTGCTGCGACTGCGATATACGAAACTATTTTTCGTTTTCCTTTAAAGGGCAACTCTGATCGAAAACGACTACAAAATGATTGACTGAACCCTCTTTAGTGTCACGAAAACAGATCACAGCCGTAATATCACGTCAAAGTGAAGCCGCGTAATACACTAAAACCGATTTTAAAGATGCGACCAACTGCTCTTTAGCAAGTTGCAAGCAGGTTAGCCTTTGGTTAAGCAACACTGGGCGACGCGTACCGCAGTTAGTGTGTACTCGAACGTGGAGGTGTGTCGTCCGGCAGCCGTGAGAGTGTCGCTATGTGCGAGCTGGCCGGTGAGGGCGCTGTGGGGCAGAGAGCGGCCATCTGATGGCTGCCAGAGAGGCCTGGAGGTCGTAGCAGAGACGGTTTATTGGGCGCGAAAATGGTCATAATCTTCGTTTATCCAATCTCACACTCCTGTAAAAAAGCGTCACTTACGCGAGCGGCAGATGCTTATATTTAAAATGTAAATGCCTTTTGGGAGCGGTCAGTTACTTACATAGTGTCGCTTCTTTTATTATTTTCATTTTGCTAATATAGAAGAATAGTTGTCTATCTCATCTTACATGCCGGCTTTAAGAAAGCGAATTTTGAATGTGCTATGATGCGATGCTTTTCTCTTTAATTTAGTGGCAATGCCCTTTTTGTTCTGGTGTTTATACATCTTTTTGTGTAGCAGGGTTTAATAAAACTTAGCTTTTCGTGACTTTTTCATTCTCAACAAAAGCTTTTAATCAAGGAAATGTCTGAATTAATTTTATCTGTAAGCATGCACAATATGAAACAAAAAAAAAAAACCGCCAAGAATGACAAGTTAATGGAGCTACTTTAAGTGCTGCCTTTATTGACGAGCAATCCAACTTGGAGAAATTTGTGTTATATGTCATGTCACACAATTCACACATCCTTCTGATGCTTTATTCTTTTCTCTGCACCAGCTTCGTGTTTCTCCTCCAGAAGGAAACTATAATCCTGTAATGCAGAAGTTTTTTTTTTTTTCTTGGAATCAAACAATCCCAATCCGCGAACAGAAAGGCGCGCTCGGCGTCCGAACAAGGAGAGTTTTTGGTGCTTCCCGGCACAAAACTTCACCAATCTGTCTTTTTCTTTACAGTATTTCACATCGCTGTGAGTCACTCGTCTCTTCTGCGCAGCTAGCCAGTCACAGAATATTATACCGCTTCACACACAACGCAAATTAAGAAGGAATAGTCACATCAACACGCCCCAAGCCAGACTCGCTAAACGCTGCCCGACCGCCCCCTGGCCCCGCTGCGACTAGCAGCGTCACCCTACGTTCCTGCTGCAGAATCGTGCCACGCCACACCCACCTCCAGTAAAGAGCTCGAGGCGGTCGGCACACATCCGACTTCTTGGACACCCTACGGCAGCACCCCCGTGACGTCACGTCGCGGCTGGATGGAAGAATGTTAATGGCTATACCCCTTGTAACGGGTGGTAGCTTGCGCCACCTAGTCTAAGTCTAAAAAGACAAAAACTACTAAAAAACATCACCGCCCGCCTGCCTCTTCCTCCCGGCGAGGGAGTCGCAAATTTTCCTCTGGTCAAACCTTGTCGGCATTACCCCTGCACCGAACCCAATGGGAGACAGGATTTAGACTTTGGGCCGGAGCCACACGTACAGCTGACGATAATTGTTGCCATCACTCTCTAGCAGATAGTTTAGGTTTTGCCGTAGAGGCTCAGAACCAAACTTTGAGCCTTGATATTTATCAAACAGCACATAATAGCGAGAAGACAAAAAGAATATTATACCTTGTAATGGACCTTTTCCACATACCGACGCCACCAGGCGGTGGCTGCACGAACTAAAGATCGAGGAAGTGACCTACGTGCGCTAACAATCGATAATGGGAGCTACGCTACCAGTTTCTTCGCTCTCTGAGCTGCGGCGCGTGCCTAACGCGACTTTAAAGAGGGGAAAGAAAAACACGACGCAAACGATGTGTTTTTTTTTTCGTCCACTTTCTTTTTTTGTGTAACTTAATTATATATATGCTGCAATTACGTGTTCTACTCGCTGATCAACAGCCTCCTTCCGAATTTCCTCGATTTTTCGCACCGATTTCCGCCGCTTGGCATCGGGCGCTCGCGCGTGCGCAGAACGATTCTCGGAAAAGGTCCATACACGGACATTAACTGAACGTAAAACAGTCGCAATTCCAAATTCGAAAACATCCGTCGGAGTTGCCCTTTAAGGCAGAGGCAGCCGGTGCCACGGTCCGGTGAAGGCAATCAGGTCAAGCGGTGCCAGCCAAAAGTGTATCGTCACGGCGGTCGTCGTCTCTGTGCCTTTGCTATATTACCAACGAAACCAATCACGCAAATAAAACAAAATACAGAATCACGGCGCATTAACTGTGTGCGATTGACTTAGTCGGTGATAGCGAACGCACAAAGGCGACGAACGTTATGAGGACGCTTTTTTCGGCGCTCCCTGATGGCTCAACCGGATCGCAGCACCGGCTGTGCAGTACTTAACTGAAACTGAGTATAGCATCAGTCATGATACCCGATCTACTGTTTGTGCGTAACCTTTTCAGACTTGGTCCGATGTACAATGGAACGATAGAAAGAAGAAAGTGCGACATGAATTTCATGCAAGATGAAACAGATTTTCATTTTTTTGAATGCCGTACGGCTACGATGATTAACGATGACCAAACAGCGTGAGTTGTGACATAAAACAAATTCAAAGGTGTTTAAAAATATCTGTAATGCGAAATTAAACCGCAACTCTTGAAGAAATTTGATTTTGCGATATACCGGGCTAATTAATTTGCCGAAGAAATATCTATATGTACAAATACAGATCTAGTATTCCTGCGTTTAATATAAACTATATATAGACTATATATAGTTTAAATAAATAAACTATATATTATTTCTATATTATGTACACACATATATATATATACATATGTATAAATTAAAAATTTATTATAATAATATTTATATAAGGAGGAGGGGCAGGGGACGCGCAGGACCCTGCCCCCCTCCTCCTCTGGTTACGCCGACGGCGACGCCGAAGCCGCAAAACACGGACACGATCGCCTAAGAGCTGCGCTTTGAAATAAAGAACTGCGTTGAGGATGCACTCCAAGAGCTTGTTTTTCTATTTTAGTTTGAACAGCATATTATGGCGAAGTGTCGTCGGATGATAGAAATAAGACAGACACTGCACTCTAAGAAATACGTGCGCGTCTACTTACCTGCAAAGCGCTCAAATAGCCAATCTGTGCGATCCACGAAATCAGCTCAGTGAATGATGCGGCGGAACATCTGTTTAGACCTCAAAATTAAGTCTGCGCTTTGGCATAATGCGATGCAAGCATGACGCTTTGCATTACGTAATGCCACAGCGCAGACTTCATTTTTAGGTCTAAACGGGTGTTCCGTCGCATCATTCACTGAGCGGATTTTGTGGATCGCAGAGATTGGCTCTTTGAGTGTTTTACGGTTAGGTAGAGGCACACACATTTCTTAGAGTGTAGGGTGTGTTAGCGACGTCATTTCGTCCACCGTTTTGTTGTTATGAGCAGTCTGGCGCGTGCAGAAGGCGTGCACTCCGAAGAGTCACATCACACCCTTGAGTTGCTGTAGCGCACACAAAGGTATAAGTTTCATCACGTTGACATCTAACAACCAAATGGTAGATTGACGCCCCGTGAAAACAGCCTAAAGACGATTGTAAGCGAGACCAATGGATGCCACCATGTTTCTGTTCGTGTGGACAAAGCCGTGCAACTTCGAAGCTGTGTTCGAACTTTGTCAAAGCTGTGTTCACGCGCAAGCTGCACGCGCTTGCTCTTATGGTGCACCAGTAAGGGCGCCATGCTTGCAGCAGACCTTTTCGGAAATATGTGGTTTCCAGAGCGTCTTCTTAACGCATTGTGACGTTCAGACATACGGCCGTTAAATTATCCATGAGGCGAATACGAACTCGACGTTGGTTTAACAGTTCGTGATTTCAGAACGCAGAGAAGGCAGAAAAAAGGAAAAACAGAGTGTGTAATTATCTTTTTTTTTCTCCTTCACGTTATTTTTGCGTGTGTTATGAGCTCCTAATGATAAGAAAGAACGAATCGTGCCGTAACCAGGATATATAAAGCCTTCGAGCCGGAACCGAGCCTACACCCGAATAGCTCCAGAATTCCCCTCGTTGCAAGACCTCAAGGGATTTCCCTGAAAGATCTATTTTTCTATACACCAACACGCGGCTTTAACGCGGCGCTACTGCGGTTGCGCTGTTGTCAGCATGGCTCATGAGCAGACGCTTCACTTCAAACTAATCTGATTTCTACGCACGTCTAGTGCCCACACCTAGTATGGGCAAATGCTGACTTGTTTGTAAACAGTGTGTTGGTCTATAGTTGTTGACAGGTCAGGAACCAATTCAGTAGTTGCTGCGCCTGCAGTTCGCGCTCGTTGCCTTTCGTCGGGCTCTGGCTGAGCACGCGACAAAGTGTTACCAAAGGCAGAAATCTCGCGAGCGAGGCAAAATTTCTTTTGGGCTCTTAACCGGTGACCAACTATTCGCGACTCCAGCGAACTATAAGGGGCGTGCTGGTCAAACGGCGGACGGAAGGAGGTCGCTTTCGTCGTTCAGCACGCGGACCACCCTACATCTCTTGCACTGCAGGGTAAACTCGCTGTTACATAGAAATGCAAAGTGATTTTTCAACCCTAGAAACCTTCTTCTAGTCAGTGCTTAGGAACGACACGGCGGAAGCATAAAAATAGTTACTGGAGACGATGTTTGTTTCTATGCTGCATACGAGAACCAAGCAGCGGTAGCAGACGACAGAATCGAAACGACCTCCTCTCTTGAGCTTCTCGGCGTTGCCGCTACGCGGCGTCGATTTCCCTAGATTCGCCAATTGACTTTTTTGAAGAAAAAAAAAATATTGGCAACCCTGAGACTCTGTGTTTGAAAGTTTGAGAGGACAGCAGGAAACACTCTTAAGTGTTGGTGCCGCCATATTAAAGTTGCTTCCAACGATCTAATAGCACGCAGGAGTTTGGTTCCGGTTACAGATCGCTTCACAGTATAAAAGATTAGCGAGTACTATGCTTTCCTAACGACGAGCGATTGCAAACAGCGACGTACCAACGAATACGCCACTAAAAGCTACCTCTAGCCATTATCGGTTTCTTATTCCCGATAGATAAATTCCAGCGGAAAAAAAAATATCTCAGCACTATGTAATCAAAACTCTCTGAAAGCAAACAAGGTTTACTGCGAAGAGAAAAATACCTCGATCCAGGTTTTAATGACATAATACATATAACATAATCGTTCTAGCATTACGTATGTACAGTTACGAGCGCGTGCCTGCAGGCAGCTTACAATGGTTCAGTTGTAGCAGCACTGGTAGATCAGCCACAGTCTTCGGAGCCCGTTTTTATTAATGTACAACAACAAAAAAGTATAATATTCGTTTGTTCCTCCGCAGTAAAGCACAAAAAAAAAAAAAAAAACGTGCGTATGTGCGGTTCTTGTGGACGTACTCTTGTTCCTCAAAGTGGCAGGATCGCGCTCTTTATTTTGTTATTTGCAAAACTATGTCTCGCTTTGTACCCCTGATTATCATTCACGCCTTTTTGCGGGCAGATTGATGTAGCACAAATCAATAAGGTTATTCAGCTTCCAAATGGTGTAAGAGGAGCGTCAGGGACGCAACGTGCTTGAAATACGTTCGACGTACTGTTACCGGGAGCGGACGGCCTTAGCTCCCGCTGCAGCTGTAAAGCGTCAGCAATAAAGGACGAAACATGTGTAAGCAGGTCTATAATAAATTATGTTTAAGTTAACATTTTTGTGCGCAGCTCGGAAAATTATGACTGCCTCCAAGAACCTCCAGAGGATAAGAGCTCAAGCAATGTTACAAGTCCGCAACAGTTTTTCGAGAAGTATCACGAATGGACCCCGTGCGGTGTATCGTACCTAGGATCCGTGGAATGCCCCAGTGTGAGTCTTTCAAATTCCTCACTTACGTACTTAAGACATGTTTGAAACATGCATTTTTGATGATGGGTGGCCTTTTAAAAATCTGTTCATATTAAGAGTTGTGTAATCTAGTTTGGTCTGTAACAAAATAAATCACATGGTCTAGTCTCAATATATAATATAAATTTTATTACATTTTTACCTTTTTCCCAGTTTCTAGTGGAAACAAAAGGGACATAATTGTATTTATTAGTTCTAGATATTTTTTTTTTGCTGAGTCAAACCTTGTGTTTGTAAAAAAGTTTTAAAGAAAAAGGTAAGGAGGAACTAATTAAGTATAGATTGTCCTATTATTTTTCAACCAACTGTTCTGCAGGATTGCTTAGCGTCAAAAGAAGTTAAATGGGACTGAGCGAGATAAAGCTATGTTATTATTATTACACAAATATATAAATATGAATGAATCTCTTAATAAGGTAATATACCGATTATTATCAAATGAAGTTTTTACACTGACACCATATATCTAATCTTAAGTTAGTGCAGTGCTACGCGCGTACTGCATGCAGACAAAAAATTGGGATTATTCGGCACATAAAGAGGGCGCTCCTATCCTCCTGAGAATAAAGCCTGTCTATCCAGGGAGAAGTGGCGCCATTCATTGTTGTGCAAATGCTCGAGGTACGTGCCGCGCGGCACTTCTGAAAAGAACATGGCGTCTAAAATCTAGATCTGTGCTGCGCTGTGCCGCCACGTTCTTCCCAATGGTGGCATGTCACACGTGCCTCGTGCATCGACGCACCTTGCGCTACTTTTGAAATACCGTAACATAAAGTATCGTGATAAAATTTACGCTTACAAGTACCGCCAACAACCATTGTTGTGGAAACGCGCCAGACACGCCCCACGAGCGGGTGCTCCGCTGCCATTCGCTTCCAAGGGCCTCTAGAAACGGGCCTCGTGCGCTGGCGCATTTGACGAGACTTGCCAAACGGGGGGGATCGGTGGCCGAGTGGTCTAGACAACGCCAGCTCGGAGCACGCGGGACGAAAGCTCGCGCTGCAGAACCCAGGATCTCGGGTCCAATCCCTGCCCGTTTCGATCTGGATGAGCATCGTACCGGCATGCGGTCGTGTATCACTACTGCGTGGTGCACGTTAAAGATCCCAGGCTAGCGGTTGTACTGCACTGGCAAAATTACTCACATACAGGTGGGAGACTCATTGCCCGTTGAGGCAGTCCAAATTCTAGGCTGTATAAAGGTACACAAAGTCCTTAATAGCTCTTGTGATCTTTTATAACGAGAAGGCACACTTAAAGCCCCTCGATATGTTTCTGTTTGTCTTGCAAGTAGCGTCAAACGCGCGAGTGCACGAGGCCCATGTCTCGAGCGGCCCTTGGAAGCAAATGGCGGCGCAGCACTGAAATGAGCGGCCCTAGGAAGCGAATGGCGGCGGAGCACCCGCTCGTGGCACGTGTCTCGCGCATTTCCACAACAATGGTTGGCGGTACTTGTAAAAAACGCCTTTATCAAGGGGCTTTAGGCACACTAGCACGCTGGCTCCATCTATGAGGTGACCGTGGAACCGCCTTTCAATAGAGCGAAGTTTTCTGCGGTATCTGGGAACCTGCGGAGGAGGAATGAGGAGGAGGAGAGGAGGGGGGGGGAAGAAGGAGGGGAGGAAGAGTAGCCGGGAGGATGGAGAAGTGAGAAGGAGGGGTATACTCTCCCCTCAGTACCCTTCCCTCCTCCTCCTCAAGAGCTGCGCTCTAATTCGGCGTTACAGGGTGTTGTAAACGTCTCATTTTTTGTATTGTTTTTGAACGAAACGTCTTGCGAGCGAAAAAGAGCAAGAGTACGAGTTTGCAGTGCCTCTATATCACGGCGCTACTCGCGGTACCGAATTTTGACGGTGAAAGTAGTACTCAGTATTCATTTTAAAGCAAAAGAAAAGAATTGAAAGTGATATTAATTCAGCATATTAATTCAGCATAAAGAATAGTTTCATCACTTGACTAAGCATAAGTAGCTGCGGACGCTTAGATTTACGAGGAACGCTGTCAGTACCAAAACGCGTCACCGGGGTCCATAGGTGGTTCATTTAAGGTAGGTTCAAAATTCTGATCCCACTTTCTGGTTGCCAGACGTCCGGCGGTGTCGGAAAGATGTGTGGCTCTTTGCTCCAACGCTAGCGCCATGCGTGGAAGCGTACCAACCTCGCTCATAGCGTTCCGGAAAAGCTTCATGACCAGTAGCGTGTTAAAAGACTCTGGCTATAGCTACGACAGCGTCCGCATTACGTCGTCTAGTAAAGCGGTGCCCCTTCGGACTTCTTCTAATGCCCCTGCAGCGCCTTGGCTCCGTCTGCGCCTTCCCGCGGCCGCTCCAAACCAGTAAAGGTTTGACACTTTGACAGGCTTTGTCTTTCGAAAACGTATCCATGTCCAACGTTGCTTTGTATACGTGTCTTCCGATCATTCGACCCGCAGGAGTTTCTCGGAGCTCAGGTTCGATCGTCTTCAAAACGTTTGTGTGTGCGACGGTCCGGAAATCGCTACGGTACAACATTCATCAGTGCTACTAAGTGATACAATTTTACATAAGAAGCAATTTTCGATCCTTTTCTTTTTTTATCAGATTGCTCCTTGTTGGCTGGCGAGGGCCGAGTAGAACGACTGGAATTGAGGTGATCGCTGTTGTTTTCACTCGCGCATGGAGCGAATCTGCTCTCATTTTCTGGGTCTTCTATAAAACAAATTAGTGCTGACTGCGCACTGATTATTGTTTATTCCGAACGCTTCTACTAGAAGCCGCACCGTGACGCCACTGTCTTGTCCCACTCTTCCAATACTTTTAAATTTTAAACTACACTCTAAAAAAGGGTTGTAGCCCTTACACCTCTTGAAACATATACGACTCCCCAAACGTTCAGTTAATCGTACATGGCACTGACCTGAAACTGACGGCCAAAACTTTTACGAGAGGCTTGATGACGGTCCCATGTAAGATATTAAACAGCTACAGTACTCATCAAAAAGTTCAGAAAAAAAAAGCACTGGGGTTCTGCAGTAAGGCCAAGAAAACCCCGATTACTTATTTACAGTCTGTTACATTTACTTAAGCTATTTTAATAAGCTGTACAACTCGGCTATCAAGCCGCTCGTGAAAGTTGGTAGCGTCGAATGAACGTCGGTGCGCTGCAAGTCAAACTGAAGTTTAGGGCTGTCGTATATGTGTAAGGGGTGTAAGGGCTACACCCCTTTTTTGGTGTGTTTTTGTTCAATCTGCTTAACATTCAAGGAATAGCTAAAAATCTTGTTTATCTTCGGCCTTGTCTAATTTACGTTGTCATTACAATGAAGAGTTACCATTTAGTCCAAGTTTCAATTCTCTTGATGATCATTTATTTAAGGTATATATTTTACATTACACTCATTTTTACCCCATGCGTCTTATTTTGGCATCCCTCGAGGCGTATATAGTTATTTAAGTTACATTTGTATTCGCGCTTAAGATAATATATTTGTGTATTTATCAAGACGCAACGTTTCAGACGCGAATAACATTGTTTTTGTTTTTTTTTCTTCCACAAGCAAATAATATTAGAACTACTGCAAACTGCATAATAATAACGAAAACCAATTTGCTTTCTTCTGGAGCTGCGAACTGCGGTATTTACGCGTGTGTGTTTGGGTATATGAAAATTTCAAACCAATGGACTGCACGGATATTTAGCAGGAAACATGTTTGAAATTTGTAAATTTAGGGACAGAATAGGCGGATTACTATATGGATTGCATATTTTGGAATGTCGGCCAATGAAATTTGATGTCTTGAGTATAAGTCCAAATTATAAACTGCATTAGAAAGGTTTTTTGAGAATATACTAGAAAGAATAGGTTGGGCAAAACATGTTGAAATATTAGTTTTGCTGCCCAATCCTAATAGCAAATTTGAGCTTTTTACACATTTATTAACACTTGTCTCGGGATCTTTTTCGGCACTAAAAGAATCGTCCTAGTTTTATTTTCCCCATTTAGTTCAATGGTATTTGTGATAGTAAATGACTTCGAAACATTTCTTTTTCAGAATCCAAATGGTGCCTCAAGTTTATCGAGCGATTGTCATTTGTCATGCTGTCTTCCTGAAAATATTTTTAAGAGTTCCCTGAAGCATATTAATATCACTGCTCCTGATGGTAGAATCTGTGATTCAAAAAAGGTGTGTTCAAAACATGATGTATTTGTAGGAATAAGGAAGTCGTTGAGATAGTATGAAACGATTCAGAAGTTACAGCCAGAGCTTGCTATTAAAACGATTTAGACACGCGGGTTGCCGAACGTTCTATGAAGACAGGGACAATAAACAAAAAGAACGCAGACAGACACGCGAAGAGTTTTTTTTTTTTGTTATTTTTATGTCTGTATTTCTTTTTTTTCATTATCTATCCAAATATTACAGCGGAAGCTCTTAGTGGCCCGTCCTTCGGTTTCGCGACTGCGTGATGTAAACGAAAATGAACAGTTTCCCCGCTAAATTTGGCGGGAAAATTAATTTCATGTGACCTGACGTCACGGCACCTACGAATTCAGGTTTTCCGCTAACCTTAGAGGAAAAAATTGACGTCACGTTACCTCTACCCCAATTAAGTTTCCCCACTAAATCTTGCGGAAACAAATTGATGTTACGTCGCCTCACGTCACGGGGCCTACAGACAAATTCAGGCTCCCCGCTAAATTTAGCGAACAAATTTACAACACGAGACCTATGCACCTATTCAGTTTCCCAGCTAAATTTAGTCGGGAAAACACATCGCGATCTGAATATAAATGATTCATCCCCAACATATCGACACTAAATCAACGCAACGTCATTTCAATATCAGATCAGCTTATGACGCAAGATCGGCGCAATGTCAATCGACCGTCATCGTCATGCGTTCATGCAGCTCCCGCTGTCTAAACGCATTACTTCGTGTGATATCCGCTACGTTAGCTAAAACGGTTGTGGTTACCATAATGTAAACTAATCTGATATTTTCGTAAGGAAAACCTAAAATTGAAAAAAAAAAAATTGAAAACGAGAAAGTTAGGAGCTTCAAATGTTTCGATTGGCTTTTAAATTTTATTCTCGGGTTTATTTACATCAATGTAAATTATATAAATGATGATCACGACTGTCATATTAATGAATGTAAGCGATGCTCATGGCCCATCAGCACAACTGCGTTTAAATTGTTCTTGTTATAGTTAATTTATGTGAAGGTACCTTGGCTTAATTGAATATTTCAACTTGTAAAGGTTTGGCTTTTTTTAATGCTTTTTGTTTTCCGAGACGTGACATAGCTCCTAAAAAGTAAGAAAATGTACCCTATCGTCACCTAGTTTATACATTTCCGTCTCCTACAAATGTTTTTTTTTAAGCTGGTAATTAAAATTAACGATGCACCCTATTTTGTTGCCGACCTTTATGCCCAAGTCACGTAAGACTTATTGAACTGCTATACGTAACCCATTCCAGTGCCTCCTCTATACTTTCAGTGTCTGGCAAAGGGTCGGAAAACAATGAGACGCCGCCGTCGTTGCAAGTGCAACGCTTTGTTGCAAGTGCAACGCTTTGCCGCCAGGCGCGCCACTAAAACCGGGTCGTTTGGACTTTGAAATAGATAGGCTGATGCCGAATACGCGGGAGGTACGCTAGGGACGTGCCACCCGCATTCAGAAAAGCATTGACCATGGGGAAATTCTGGCACTATTTGATATATAAACGTTCCGGAGCGCTTGCGCCCGCGCATTTTCAGAACTGCATGCAACTTACTGACTTTCATGCATAAGCTGACAATGCGTCAAAGCTAGAGCCACGAGGCCGCAGCTTTGAGTCGTTGCGCTCACGCTTGAAAGGCCCATTTCAAAAGGGAGCTTTCGCAGATCGGTTCCTAGCGGAGGTAGACGCTGCTACTGAGCATGCGCACCGCTAGCTTTGTCTACGAAATTTCAGGGATCAGGTGAACGGAGTGAACCTACATTTCTTCTCTTAAATGCAATATTACATTATGACAAGGACTACCATAATCCGGGTGTATGAGGAAAGGAATGTTGTGTTGCAGAACATTTTGGAAACATCAATATTGTTTCTATTGTTTTCTTAGTAAAATGAAACTAGCTTGTAACGTAAAGAGTTAAGTCATCTATAACTTTTCAGCGAAAGTGATCGGTAGCGGTAAGCCACTAGGTTTGAGGCCCCGTAATTTGTGATTGACATCCATTACATTTTTGAAGTAACGGGCAAAAGTCTGCACAGCGCGTATTTAGAGAGAGCAGATTTAAAAGAGAGAAAATGATACCTTAGAAAGCGTTTGCAAGTGCGCATGCTTGTATTGTCGCGTGGCAAGGAATGCGGGCGGAAAGGCTGAGACGCTTTGAGACGATCAACGCTTCCTTCCCCTCATCGCTGCTCATCTGAAAACGCAACCACGTGACCCCAGTTGAAAACACTTTCAAACCTAGGCAGACTACGCGTGATGATGATGATGTACCTTGTTAACTTGAACCCCTCGCGCCACCACCACGAGCGACAGAAGCGATGTCTACGAGAGGACCTCTTCCCAATCACTGAAAGCGTATAGGTGGCAGTGTCCATTCAAAAACAATAACGTTCCCACCGTGCCCGCTAAGAGTGAAGGTCTATTCTTAAGGAAAAATATATAAAAGAGGAATAGTGTAACATTGTTGTGACCGAATAACTAGCTAAATATCAAAATCAGTAATAAGAAGAAAGAAATGCTGAAATACATATATCACATGACTTCTAGAGAATTTGTGGAAAGGGCGTCTAGAATTAACAGAATAGAATCTACTTTTAAAGGAGCCCTGCAATCATATTTAAGCGTCTACGTTTTTTGCGGTTTCCACGTCTCTTGGGGTTCGGGCAAGCCAGCGGGCACGGAGAGAGTAACTAAATATTAGTGCGTCCGATTTTAACCGGACAACGCGGAAACCTCCTCCACCTACGCGGACGACCTGCGGTGCCGAAAGCGCGCAAAATGTGACGTCTTTATACTATACTTACTATACTGGCTAGCTTTTTTTTAGTCGAAATACAAAATTTAAGCGGCGCGAACCGTTTCAATTATTTATGAAAGCAGTTTTTGTTCACTATTTAAGACCAGAAAAGAAACACATGCAGTTTATTTATTTATTTACCCTCAAGGCCCCGAAGGGTATTAGTATTAGTTTAGAAAGTACGGAAACAAGAAATGACCCGTCGACATACCCGCCACCAAGTGGTGGAAAAGGCGGCGCATACTAGAAAGGTGTAGTGGGATCAAGCACCAACGAGCGGCGAGAGTAGAAAGGTCCCGGATGTACGCGGCGGCGCTGCGGTCGTAAAGACTGAAGGATCCGACCGGCTCTGGGGGTTTCCAAGGCCTTCGGTGAGCAGCATTGGCTTGCGGTTTGGCCTTTTGGCGGTTAGGCAGCGCGAAGTGGCTCCCGTTGTGAACTGATCTTTACCCCGTGTTTGCTGTTGCTGTTGTTTCTGGCCAATGAAGTGTCATGCCGAATTAGTGTTTGATCGCGCAGTAAATACAATGCGAGCCGTCCTGGCTGCCTCCTTCATACAGCCTAGCCAGAACATGCTTTAGCAGCGCCCTCTCGAGCTGTCGACACGGAGTGCGGCAGCCGTGACCGCTCGCTGAGCTCACTAACCCTCTTCTAGTCCACGGCCACTCAAGCAACCAAGGACGTCATGAAGGAGGTTATTTTTCGCTTGTTTTCGTAATTTTGATTTTCCTATAACTTTTAAAATAAATCGAAATTCGAGAAAAGAAAAGTTTCATTAAGTTACTAAGTTCAGTGCGCTCCGGCTCAGTGCAAACTAAAAACCAGTAAAAACGTCCTTGTAGGGCCCTTTTAAGTTGTTGTAAGTCAATCGTAATGGAAAAACCTAAAAATGCTGTGAAAAAAAAAAAAAAGAACCACATACACTATGGAAAGACAAAAGAAAATGGGGACATATAACATCTCAATTATTGATTTTTCACCGTGCGTTTTCTTTTTCTGTTGTCGTCACGGTTTTCACCAACATAGTGTTTTTATTATGTCCTGAGTATGTCGCTGACTTTGGTGACGTAAGTTATCTTTAGATTGACTAATAACAAAACTGAAAGTCTACAAAAACAACTGTTGGAATTCTGATAGTCCCGCCAGCTGCTATTCATACATGGGTTAACAGTGACATTGAATAATAGTATTTTGGTAATTTTTTTTTTTTTCAGGTGTGTGTAGCAGGCAATTGCACTACCGAAGTGGCTACATCAACGGATGAAATATGAAGTGAAGCTGAAGTTAACATTGCCACGGATGTGACTGAGCTGGATGCGCACGCGCCTCTCCCGCAAGACTACTGGTTTCAATCTACCTCATTGCAGTTTTCTGTATAATTCTTCGTACCTATCCTTTAACGTGTCTGATTTGGAAGTTATTGTGTGTCCTTTAATAAAATGTTCCTGAAACTAGAGAGTGTATAAAACAAAATTTGTCTTTTTCGCTTTTCCACTCGGTCTTCCTGAAAGCTTATAACAATATTAAAAAAATAAAAGAATTTTCATTTTCGTTTTTGCAGTTTCGCCGAAACCAACGGCTGCGACGCCCCTTATTGTAATTTGTTTTGGCACAAACACGCCACAACCAACATCAAACTACAAGAAAAGCCCGCCAGCCGTGGGTCTTCTTAGCACTGCGAAAGCTATGAATGACACAGCGCTATTTGCTTCTAACCCCTATTCGCAAACCCATACATTGAACATTTAGTTATCACCCGTTAGAAAAAAAAAAACCGTCGTAAACAATTTGTAGGAATGAACAGTAGCCGCTTGGAGATATTAGACGTAACATCTGGAGACCACAGGGGAGCATTCTTGATCCTTTAGTGTTTTAGAGCGCAGCTCTTGGCGCCCGTTTCCGGCTTGAGCGGCGTCGCCGTCGGCGTAACCGCGCGGTGGATTACGGGACGCGTGACGTCACTGATGACGTCATCAGTGATGTATAGTCATCGGCATTGTTTCTGATGACGTCCTCGGCATCCGCATCATTATTGTAACTGATGACGTCATCAGTGACGTCACTGATGACGTCATCGCCATCCGCATCGTCATCGTCTCTGAGGACGTCACCAGTGACGTCACTGATGACGTCATCGGCATTCACATCGTCATCGTCACTGATGAGTCATCGTCATTGTCACGTGACTTTAGAGGACTCACGTGACCCCCGTGAGGTCACGTGACCCTCGTGAGGCGACGGCGACGCCGCTCGGAGGGAGGAGTAGCAGACAGGATGAGGAGGTGAGGAGAAGGGAGGAAGGATATGGCTTCCACTTTGTAACCTGCCCCTCCTCCTCCTCAAGAGCTGCGCTCTAATTCGGGGTTACAGGGAGTTGTAAACGGCTTTCATTTTAGAGCGCAGCTCTTAGGCACCCGTTTCCGGCTTGAACGGCATCGCCGTCGCTGTCGCCATTGGCGTAACCAAGGTCACCCCAAAGTCACGTGACCCCCAAGGTAACCCCAAGGTCACGTGACCCCTCCCAAGGTAACCTCAAGGTCTCGTAACCCCCCCCCCCCCCCCCCGAGGTGACCCCCCCGTGACCGCAAAGGTCACCCCCAGGTCACGTGACCCCCAGGTCACGTGTTCCCCATCCCCGAGGTCACGTGACTCCCCTCCCCCAAAGTCACGTGACACCCCCGAGGTCACGTGACCCCCTCCCCCCGAGGTCAAGTGACCCCCCCGGAGCATATTAAAAAATGAGGGGAGGAGGAGGGTCTACCCTTCCCTCAGTACCCTTCCCTCCTCCTCAAGAGCTGCGCTCCAATTCGGCGTTACAGGGCTTTCACTTTTTTTTTTAATTTATACAAAGGACATAGTTTCCGCGCCACACCCGTCTGGTAACATACGTTTATTTGCAGATGATTGTGTGTTTAAAGAAATATCTTTGCTTGACTGTCAACAATTAATGAGCGCAAGCCTCAATGACATTCAAAGCTGGTGCAGTACGTGAAACGTGAAGTTAAATTTTGAAAAAAAAAACTGTTTAACTGCAAATAGCCGAATAGAAAAAAGCCGTTCAACTTCCAATTCAGACTGAATAACATTCCCATCTCTCAGGTTGATGATTACAAGTACCTCGGAGTGACCATAAATACGAACTTAAATTGGATGACCCATATAAAAAATACACCCTCGGCAGCCTTCAAGAAGTTGGGCTTTTTAAGGCATAAGCTGAAATACGCAACTCCAAATGTGAAATTGCCGACTTACAATTCACTCGTTAGATCTAAACTAGAATATGGTGGTATTACTTCGGACGGTCATGCGAAATCTAAGTCTGAAATATCGGAACGAGTTCAAAGTTTATATAGGGAAAATTTAAAAGAACTGATTCGCCGCCCCCCCCCCCCCCCCCCTTCCAGACGGACAATATACTCTGTAAAATGGTGCTTTAGTGCAAGGAATGTTTAGGAGTGGGAGAAGTGGGGGGGGGGGGGGGGGGGGTAGTTGTCTCCAACGCAGGTAACTATAAATAAATCTGGAAAAGTAGATATGCAACAAGGAAAAACATATAGGCGATCTGGTTAGAAAACGTCACGCTCTGAGCCCTGGGACAAGGAGGAGGCCTGTGTGCAGTGTTATCGAGTGTCGTCTGTGGGCAGCAGCGTATGCAGCAGCACGGCAGTAGTCGCAGTTAATTAGCGAAATACGGCAAGAAACCTAAGCCGGCTTTTTAGAACCAGCGTCTCAGCTCAGACAGGGTGAAAAAAAGCATTGCAAAAGCTAGCGCACGAGCGGAGTGGTGTCTCAAGTCGAGTCATAGCCTCCTCTATACTGACAAAGCCTGGCAGATCGCCACCAGAAGCGACCTCTGAAATTGGAAAGGTAGAGCGGCAGACAACGGATGTGAGGAGAGGCTTTTAGGAGAGCCACGTGACGGGCGCCCCGCTGCGGCGAGACGCCGAAACACACTTCTTTTCCTTAGAGATGAAATGTCCGCTCGTGCTCCTCATGTTCCTCGCGCTACCGCTTCTTGTCTCGTCGGGTTTGAAAATCATTTTCGGGTCCTCGCCACTGCAAAAGGTGTGCGCTGACATCCGGGCTCCTCGAGGAATGCTCTGTGCTACCGGATCCTCGCCCTTCAAATCTGCGACCGGGCACTCTATGGCTCCGTCGTCGAACAGCCAAGCTTCGCGAGTCTAGAGGAGGCTATGGTCGAGTCTGAAGCGCTCGTGGGCACCAGGCGGTGCAGGCTTTCCTTAACCCAGTCTCAGCGAAGACTCGGTTTATGGCAAGCCGGCCCTAGTATTTTTTAAGGCTCGAGTTCTAGATGGCTCAGCTGGGATGAGTAGATAAAAAAGACGTATTTAATAGCGACACTCATATTGATTGGAGTGAAAATATTTGATGAGGTGCGCTTTGCGCTGTGGCTAACATTTTGACGAGGGTGGAAATTTGGGCAAGTAGGTGATTCATAATGATTTACCAACTTCTTCATAATAAATAACTTATATATATCTCTCTCATAACAATTAGCTCTGTGCATGTGTCTTCTTCTGTGTCCGTCGGCGTTTTGCGCTTTTTAATCGCTTATAATTTTAATTGGATGAGAATTTAATTAGAATAAAATAATAATAATTTTGATTAGAATTCCTATTCGACTCTTTGGAATTATTACTTTTTTTTCCGTCAGTACCTCTGAATAACTGCATCTGTTGGGAAAAAAGTTCGGGCTTTCTAATAGCAAAACCAACGGCTGCGTTGCATTTCTTTTATCCTAAGGCCCCTTTCTCCCACCCTCAAGAAATGACGTCAGTGCCCGTGTTCACTCGGAGAACTGTTATTATTATATGAGGGTTAACCCAAGCCGAACACAGTAGCTCTGAAGCCACATGGCTCCTGTTTATTATGCTGCCTTTGAAACAGAAACAGACTACTAAGAGGCGTCTTAAGTGTGACTTTCGCGTGAAGATAAAATGTGTGAGCTGAGACAGCTTTTCGTTCCATCGAGAACACTCACAGCAAGAGAGGGTCGAAGTAAGCCGTGCTTGCTTCTTTAGAGTACTGCGCAGTCTTAAGCAGAAACGCCAAAGGCTGCCTACTGCCTAACGCCTACACTTGAAAATTGTCAAAAAAGTTTTAAAAAAGTAGTCCGTGAATTCAACAAAAGGTTATTTGCAAAGCCAAAAATACTTTTACTAATTTCGTCGAGGCGCGACTAAAATGCAGTCCGACTGAATACTATAAGCATGCAAAAAGAAGTGTAAAATATGTCATAGCCATTCTGCCACATGCTTGCAGTGATGACGTTACCCAGGATAACATAGCTAAAGCGGAAATATTTATTCAGTACTTTTGTTATATTTCCACTACCGTGGTGTCACCTGATAACGGGAATGAAAAGGGAGTTTGAGAAGGATAAATGGTATATATGACATTGTGATCAGTGAACGCAAAGTGGAATCACTGTTGCGGGGAATAAATACTTTTAAAGCAAGCGGTGCTGATCGCTTACCCAACCATGTTTTTAAACTTTGTGCGCGATTGCTATCACCTTTTCTAATAGTATTTCTTGATAAATCCTCGAACGAAGCTTGGCTTTCAGATGACTAAAGAAATCACGATCCATAAATCCGGCCCGCGTAATGACGTCTTAAATTACTGCTCAATTTCGCAAAAATGTGTGGCATGTAAAGTATTAGATTACATGCTCTATATGAGCCTGTATTTAATCCCTATGAGCATGGTTGTTGGAAATTACTAACTTGTGTAACGCAGTTGAACGAATTCACTCATGACGGGGCCTATGCTCTAGAGCAGTGGTTCTCAAATAGGGATCCACGAAGGCATTCTAGGGGTCTGCGAAGCTCTAGCTGTTTCATCAGTCAGGCCCGGCAATAAAAGTTGTCTTTTTTTTTTCAGATTGACAGGAAAAGTTCGTTTTCGGGTAAATTTTCTCGTATGTATGTCAATTAGAGAAGTCTATTTCAAACTAGCTCTTCGTTATATCCATTTATTAAATAATTATCATAATTACCCTACAGCTTCCCCTTCCCCTCACCACGATCAGGGCCCCTTATCTTCTCCGCCGATCCACAAGGGGTCCGCGAAACATCAACGGCTGAGAACCACTGCTCTAGACAGCCATCTCTCATTTGATTGTTCATTTTTTTTAAAGCGTTTGACAAAGCACCGCGTTCCTTCCTAGTTGAAACACTTAACAGCTATATTATTAATTTACAAGTAGTTTTTTGGATGCCGAATATTCAAGGCAACGATGCCGGTTTGTCGACGTATATGGTTTACATTCATCTATTGTGGAAGACCCAGCTTGTTTTCCACAGGGGTTGGTGCTAGGGCAGCTTCTGCTTCTGTTTTTGCTTAATTATATTAATGAAGGTGTAGTGCCGTAGTGACGGCGTTCTATATGGTACCAT